GTGTGCCCGCTCAAGTGGAACTTTTCGCTCCTCATTGTCGCCTGACTGTGGACTGTGGACTGTGGACTGAGTTGTCGCGCAACCCCCGAATCAAGTGCACAATCAACAAATGCGAATCAAATTGCATGGACGTCGATGCCCCCAAGGAGCAGCCACTGGCCACTTGATCAGCGTGCGGCCTGGACAATGGCTGCCACGCACTGGGCGAGGGGGGGTTGGGGTTGGCATTAACGCGTGTGGACACAATCGGAGTTCATCAGCGGTTAGTATCTTCTGTGCAGAAAGAGTATTTTCGGGCGGTTCAACAACCTGCACGCTGCGGTCACGCCGCTTGAGAGAGCAATTATCAGATATGGCGAACGGGGTTCAAGGCCCGCTCTAGAACTGGGCGGGACTCGGCTGCTGCCAGGGGCAAAGTGTCACGTCGCGGCATATCTTCCGCCATTTCATCTGTGGCAGTGGCATTGGCGCCACTCGGGCGAGGGGGTGGGGGTGGGGGTGTCTCCTTTCAATTTCAATTGAATTCAATTAAATGGCAAATGGCTGCCATTCTGCGTGCAGAAGTTCCACAATGCCCATTTGCCATTTGATTACATTTATTCTGCAGCAATATTTATTATTAGAAACGAACCAAACGATGCCATGTGCATGTAACGAGCAGGTGCTGGTGGGTAGGGAGCGGGGTACGGGGTACGGGGTACGGGGTCCGACAAGTGTCCGTGGTGTCAGCACAAGGACATTAGGCGGCATTATTTAGGCTTTGGCTTTGCATAATCCCCGCTTGTCGCTGTCGCTGTGTCTCTGTGTCGCATTTCTTCTTGCTGCCTGCTGAGGCTGCTGCCATCTGCGGTCTCTTTTGGCAGGAAGATGGGCGGGAGGAGACTGTGGGTGTGCCTGTGTGAATGTGCGTGCCAAGGCCAAGAACAAACACAAACACGTCAATGCCATAAACAGCAGACAGCAAACCACAACTAAGACCCAATAGCAACAGCCAACAGCCAACAGCCAAAAGCAACATCCGGAACAATAAGCCGGCAGACGGACACTTCACGCCACTCCAAGGTCACGGGGGGGGGAGGGGACCTTCACGAGGGGCTAAAAGTAAATTAGCGACCCATCAAAGATGTTCATGGGGCAAGGGAGGGGCACGGGGCCAGCCGTCTCGGGCGCTGTGTGAGATGAAAAATGTCCGCAAACTTTGATGGCGCTTTATGATGGCAGAAATATGGATTTGGCGAGCAGTCGGGGAGGCAGCAGCCCATCGGGGGAGCGGCACCAATCAACAAGAAGGGCCGCCGCCAACGCCTCCCATGTCACTGATAGATTCATCGATTTGCGCAGCTCCTGGCGGGGTCGGGTCATTTGTCAAGTATTCGCGAAGGTACGGCATGGCATGGCATGCGCGGGGACGTGTAGGATGCACTCGAGAGCTGTCCATGAATATGCCATCATGTATGGCTGCGGCACTTTTGCGGCACTTCGATTTGATTATCCTGTCATTTGTCGCTTTGGCATTAGTCGAGGGGGGGGGCATAAGATTATAATAAGACGGTGTCTGTGGCGCTGAATTATGAATGGAATCCGACGTAGGTCAAGCGACGCTGTGGCACATCAGCGGAAGCGGCAATGTGAGGCTGTGAGGCCTGTCTGAGGCGTACTGAGGCGATGATGTGCGTGCCATTGGGCCGTTGGGCCGTTGGGCCGTTGGCTACTCCCACTCCTCTGACTGGCAATGACTGATGGGCCCCACGCACAATTAGCCTCTGCATGGAGAATGGCAGCACGCACACACACCCACACACACACACGCCGTCATCGAGGATTAATCGTCAGCGCTTGTCGAGCAGCGCTCATCGTTTAGCGGCAAGTTTAATTCCCGGATATGTTACGAACGACACCCACCCACCCACTAGGCACAGGAGCTGTCGGGGGGCAGGTCTGTCGGTGCCAGTCACAGTCTGCCCTTGCCAGTCTCCCCTTGCCAGTCTGCCCTTGCCAGTCCCCTTGCCAGTCCCCTTGCCAGTCCCCTTCCCAGTCTGCCCTTGCCAGTCCCCTTGCCAGACCTCTTGCCACTCCACGGGCCGTGGCTCTAATCAGTTTTTTATATGTCGAAATCTCATTCTGTCCACACTCACACACACACACGGACACGGACACGGACTCGACACACACACACACACACACACACACACACACACAAGACGTTATGCTGGAAAGTGAAATTTGCGTGCGGCTTCGATTGTTTACCCCACGCACTTGCCACTATCATCGTCATCATCATCCTGAAGGTATACGACGGGCGATGGTGTTTGTCGGTCAGCCACTTCCTTCCTTCCTGCCCTCCTGCCTTCCTTCCTTCCCTCCCACCCGTGCGGATCATCAGAACAAGCACAAGTCGAGGCGGGGCACTTTATGGGTATCTATGCATAGTGTTTGCTTACGGCATGCTTAGCATCATACGCTCTGTGGATACAGTTGCTGCCTGCTCCTCCCCCCCTCCTTGATGCCCATGGCAACGGCTCTCCCACGCCATGGCCATGGCCATGGCCAGCGGACAGCGGACAGATTGGGCGCGTGTCGTGAATATTTATACGCATTTGATAAGAGCTTCGCTTTCGGTTTAGTTTATATTGAGTTTATTGGTGGACAGACACTGCAAGTGGTGGCATATGTGGTATATGTGGCATGTGTGGCATGTACTCGTACTCGTACTCGCATATGAGACACTTATCCATGGACTCAGACTTGTGCAACTTTTGGCTCGGGCTGAGCACTCGCTGAACTTGCAAATGAAGAGGCAGGCACGGCACTCCACCTGAATGTCCAATGGATGCTAATGGAGTGCAGCTCTCTGCCAGGCCAATCGTCTCGCGGGCAACCCACTAATGAGTTATCCCTGGAATAAGTTGCTCGAAGCTACCGACCCGGGTGGTGGATGGGGGGATGGCCGCCAATAACAGCCGAGTGGCAATGGCCGCATGAATAATGCCAACCGACAATCGCCACGCCAATTTCTTGGGGCATAGTTGGAGCTGGAGTTCAGCTCAGCGGTCTCCTTGTCCTTAAGTGTGGCCTTATGCTGCTGCTTCCCCTGCCTCCCTTGGGTTCGTCCCAATCCCAATCCCCAATCCCCATTCCTATTCCAATCCCTAGGAACTAGGAACTAGGCCTTCCTTCCGCCAGCTAAGACCCACTTCTGCAACATCAAATCCATGAGCTGTGAAAGTTTTTGTCGACGCTGCACAAGCAGCAATGAATAAAGGACGATGAGGACCCATCATCAGTGTAGCCCCCCCAGCCCCCCCACCGCTGGAGGGCGTGACAGTGGGACAGATACGAGTATTGGCTCATGTCAAAGTCGCCGCCACATAAATAGCAGGGAAGCGAGTGTATAAAATAAATTAAATAAATCCCAAACGAGACGCTATGCCGCGTGCTTCCTCCTCGCGGAGTACTCCTAACGATGTGCGTCCTCTGGTCAGAGTGCGGGGCTGTATGCAGCGGGAAGCTGCTCATTGTCTGTGCTCTGTGTGCTGGGTACTTTATGGTCGATACAGCCGAAGAGCTGCGGATAGCTGCGGCATTGCTTGATTATGCGAATGGGCCGGGCCGCATGTGCGGTTGTTTCTTCTCGTTTTCCCGTTTGCTTTTCTGCGGCATTTGCCATAAATTAAATTACCTAAAGCGCAAAGCAGATTCTCTGCGCTGGAGCTGGCTGACAACAGCTCGTTTAAGGCCATACATCTTCCGGATAGGAGCCGCTATTCAGTGCCAGTGCCAGTTTAAGTTTCAGTTCCAGCCACAGCCACAGCCACAGCAAAGAGGAAGCTGCAAACTGGAGGCTGCTTGCTTAACGACCAAGAAGCGGGGACTTGGCGACTTGGCGACTTGGCGACTTTTCTGCATGCGACAACAGTTTCTCAGAGGCTTGTCAGTGCACATTTTGCGCTGCCAAAGTAAAAGTTATAAAGATACGCATATGAATGAATAAAACCAATTGCAGGCTGCTGTTACCACACTTTCTGGCTCCTTGGCTGCTCCTTGGCTGCTCCTTGGCTGCTCCTTGGCACGCGTGAGTACTGGAAAATTGCGTTTGCGTTTATTTAACCATTTCGATCATTAGATTACATTTATTAGAGCTGCCTGCTACAATTCCTGGGCGCAGACCACGCAGCACAGACTCTCTGCGGTGCATGTATCTCCCATTACGGCTAATAGTGATTAAGCTGACAAAAGGCTCACACTAATTGACTACATGGACCACACCACACACACCACACACACCACACACACACAGTCAGGAAGTCCTGCCAGTGGCCTACCTTTGCTCCCACAGCAGGCTGTACGTACAATGGCGGGGAGAGTCCGGACGGTCCGTAGAGTGTATGCGTGGGAGTGCCATTGGAAGGGTTCTTCAGTGGCATTTCCACTTTAAAATAATCAGCTCTGACAGAAACTCTGCGACCCGCCCCCACCCATCCGAAGCACCATCCATGGGTGTGGTTGCTGCTGCTGCTGCTGCTGCTGCTGTGGGGTAGGCTCTAATTGTCGACACCATTGCCACCACACCACCACTCGACGAGGCGACGAAGCGACGAAGCGACGAAGCGACGAAGCGAGCTGGTGCCTACTTACAGACAAAGAGGCAGGCAAAGTCCACTGGCAGCTGGTGGCTGCTGGCCAGCGGGTAGTGGAGTGCTTCGGTTCGGTTCGGACAAGCTGTAAAGCAAACCGGGACCGACCCCAATTGGAACCCTTGTCCGCTGGCACCTAAGCGGCTTGTCCTTTTGATTTTTCCCAGAGCCTTGCAATTAAGATTCTTATTTGAACAGACCGAATAAGTTTGTGTATTCAAATGCGACCCTATAAAAGGAGGCAGGCAGCAGGCGGAGCAGCAGCCTCAATGCGGCAGAAAACTTAGCAGCCATCGGCCGATTCCAGGGGCTACAAACGGGAGCTAGCTATATCCCCTATTCATATTCAAATATCATTCAGATATCCGGGAGGAATCGTTCACTTGCTTTACCTTATTACATAGTTGATTCAGTTCGCCCGAGGCAGCGATTGCCTTAGTATATATTTTTTATTCGTGTTTTTCGTATTTGTATTTTGTGTGATCTGAGGGAGAATGGCATTGTGGGTCGCCCCTTACAACAGGCGACCGCGTTATGATCATAGCATGCATAGATACGGATTTGGCCACTATCAGGTTAGTATTGAGCCGCAGCAGAGGAGTTCCTTTGCGAGTTATCTAACACGGCAACACGGCAACACGGCAACACAGCCACAGGGGCTCTCTCTCAATCAGATTCAGATTGCGGCTTGTGACGAATGCCGCCACTCGTTGCCCGGCGGACCGCCGGAGCCTGACATGTGGGTGCGTGTGGTGGGCATGTCCCCGGACCAGATGTTTGGAGTCCTTAACTTCTTTGCGACTGTGGGCAACTGCCTGGAGACACGCATTTACCCAATGCAGCCACAGCCAACCCTCTTTATACGCTTCCGGATGAGGCAGGCGATCAATGCCCTCTACTACAGGAACTCAAATATATGCGTCAGCAGCTGTGCGGTGCGTCTGTACGTGGATATTGTCGATGTGGAGCAGATGAATGGCATGCATGGCATGCATGGGATGCATGGGATGAATGGAATGAATGGGATGAACTGGTATGATAGGGAGTTGCGCAAGCGGCAGGTGGAACGTGGATTGTGGATGAATTGGTATGATAGGGAGCTGCGACAGCGGCAGATGGCTCGTGGATCGTGGAAGAATTGGTATGATAGGGAGATGCGCAAGCGGCAGGTGGACTGTCGATCGTGGAAGTGTCACACGAAAAGGATGCTGCAGGCCTGCACAAAGAAGCTCAAGAAATGTTTGTATTTTGACACTAGATGTGGAAATGCTCCCTCTTAAACTCTCCTCCCTTGCAGATAAGGATACATTTTTGTCGTGGGCTTGCGGGATGCTGATTGGGGAATGCCCCATACAATCTACCACAAATCGCCGATCTGTAGGATTGCGTGGCCACTCAAGCGGCAAGCCACTCAAGCGTCTTGGCACTGCTGGCTTATATTATAGCTCGCGATATTCTTATTTTTAAACAGCCCCCCGCCCCGCCCAGCCCCACCCGACAGCCATGCCAGAATTGAGTTTAAATTTTAGTTTTAGTTTTTTGTTTTGTTTTATTTTGCGGCAACCTTAAGAAGAATTTGAAACACCAATAGACAGATTTCAGAGGCGAGTAAGAACTAATTTTTACAATCATTTACGGATGCGTAGAGCTAACAATTATTATTATTAAAAAAAAAAACTGCCAGCAAAAATACGAGCCATGTACACATATTTACACAAGTCCTCGTTGGACAGCCGACAGCTTATAGCCGTGGACTGTCGGCGGCGGCTGTGGCGCTGCTCGTGTGCACCACCGAGTTGAGTGGATCGTGACGCGAACGCGAGCGCCAGGTGCCCATGCCCATGCCCATGCCCATGCCCATGGCTAGGCCAGAATTCGCATTGGCATTGGTGTTGGGATTGTTGTTGCCCGCTTGGCTGGCGGAGAGCGCAATGGCGCCGGCGGCCCCTCCAGCGCCACCCCGTCGGCGCCAGGGCATGCCCTTGAAGGTGTCCACGAAGGCGCGCCGGAAGCTGGCGTTCATGAAGCAGTAGGTGATCGGATTGCAGCAGCTGGAGGAGTAGGCCAGCAGCTGCAGGTAGCTTATGGAGGTGTAGTCGATGTACTCATACAGCGCCTGCCCGATGAACATGCTCAGCGTGTTGATCACGTACAGGGGCGTCCAGCAGATGAAGAACTCCAGCACCAGCACGAACAGCATCTTCACGACTCGCTTCTTGCTCTCCAGGGTCTTTGCTTCGTTGGATCTGCAGGATCGATCAGTCAAGGACGAAGTCCGAAAACCGCCCCATCATCCACGGACTCACCTGCGTAGAGCAGCGTCATGGATCCGCATGCTGGGCGAGGACATCTTGGCCAGCGTCACCGTCGTTGTCGTTGTCGTTGTTATCGCTGTCGTCGCTCTCGTTGTCAGTGTCGCTGTCGTTGTGGTTGTCGTTGTCGTTGTTGTGGCCGCTGCGGCGCCATTGTTGTTGTTGCTGCTCTCTGCGTTTGGCAAGAAGATGAAAGTAAGCAGAGTAAGGCAAGCAGTGCACGGTTAGCAGAGTGATGTAAGCAGTGGTCGGTAAGCAGAGGGAGGTAAGCAGTGGCAGGTAAGCAGTGGGAGGTAAGCAGAGCGAAGTAAGCAAAGGAATGCAAGCAGAGGAAGTTTAGTGTGGGAAATACTAGACCTAGGGGACAGTCCTACGAACAGAACATGGACTCACCATTGTAGGCTGTGCTGGCGGTCAGCACCAGGATGCAATTGCTGCTGGGCCCCGCTCCAGTACCAGTTACAGCGGCAGTGGCTCCTGCTCCTCCTGCAGCTGCCCCGATGGACGCTGGCGGCGCTGCTGCCGCGGGTGTCGGCTGCATGGCCATCATACGGCTGCTGTCCTTGGCCATGCCCACGTAGAGGGTGCGTGTGATGAGGATGTAGGCCACGCACAGCACCAGCAGAGGCAGGACGAGCAGCATAAAGTCCAGCAGGATGTTGTAGAACTGCTCGTAGCCCTGATCGGGCCATGTCTCGCGGCACTTGCAGTAGCCTGCGCAGGCGATAGAGAGAGAGAGAGCGAGAGTCTTGAGGGAGTCCCTGATGGAAGGTGGGGAAATGGAAACTCACCTGGCCGACTGGTTGGAATCAATTGACTAAAGACGGCTATCGGCGTCATGCAGAGTATGCCCCCGAGCCAAATGAATCCGATTATCTTGTAGGCATGGCTGATGGTCTGCCAAGAGCGCGATCGCAGCGGATGGCAGATGGCGTAGTAGCGTTCGCAGGAGATGGCCACCAAAGTCCACGACGAAACGGCCACAGAGGCAGCTGTGTGTGTGTGTGTGTGGGGGGAGATGCAGAGCAAAACTTAGTCCCATTATCATTAGCAGGGACTTGTCCCCCCCAATGTCCGCCATTGCTTCCCTCAGGGCATCCCACTTTTGCTCTTCTTGCATTTTAATTACACTATTTGCATATTAAAAGCCTTTCCTGTGTCCCGTGTCCCGTGTCCCGTGTACCCGTACCCCCAGGGGCATGTACAACACGATGCAATTTGTGTGAGTTGCCATTAAGCGGCAACACCCCCCATGTATCCCCCCGTGTGCCCCAGCCATGTACCTTTCCGCATGTTTACATTACGGGCGAGCGTAAAAACACAACATTTTTATGTTGCTGCCATCGGTTGGGGGGTTGGGGGGTTGGGGGGACACGTGTGCTCAAAACTATTAAAAAACAAAGTGCCTGGCCCGGCCCGGCCCGGTCCGCCCACTGCACACCCCAGGGCTCCGTCTTGGAGGGGCGAGCGGGTGGCGCCAGCCGGGTTTAACTCTTTCAAATTGAAGTTTACCTTTTGATTGACGGGCGACGCACTTGTGCTCTTGGTCTTAAAACAAACAACGGCTGGCTGCCCCCACAGCATGCCACATTCCACATGCCACATGGCTCGACGCGACGCGACGCGTACGTGTTTGATTTTTGCTACGTGGCTTAAAGGCTTGCAACGGGGGGCTAAGCAGTTTGATTGATTCGTCCCCACTCCCAACACCCCCGCCAAATGTCTTGACAACTAAATCATTTCAAAATGCAAAATACCTCAAACAAACACACAAAACAAATGTACATTACACACACATATGTACAGTACATACACACACACTTATGTACATGTGGCATGTGTACATATGTGGGGGGTGGTGCGGGGGCTGTTCGCAAATGCAAAACTGACAGCACAAATAAGGCAGCAGCAGCAGCAGCAGCGACAGCAGCGACAGCGGCCAAGAGACGAACACAAAATTCAATTTGGTGCCCAGCCCCAGCCCCAGCCCCAGTCCCAGTCCCGGCACCTCCCCCCTTCGGATTCAGTGTTTTTCTCTCTCTTTTGGCAACTGATTGAATTTGATTTGTGCGGGAAAACGGGCAACACGCCTTCAAGGCAGCTCCAGTGGCATGGACAGGGGGCAGGCAGGCACCGAGGCAAGCCTACGAAACGTGTTAAGCATATTACGTATACGACACGCAGTCCGCCCGTCCGCCAGTCCGCCAGTCCTCCAGTTCTGCCAGCATAAATATGCGACTCTGACAGACCGGAATTTATAAGCGTCAGTTGGGCGATAAAATTTGATTGCCGCAAATAAAAGTTGGGGGGGCGCCGCGCCGCGCCATTCCCTCGTCATGGCTGGCCACGCACAGAAACACCGCAAAAATTTGTTCCGGCCAGCCGATTGCCGAACGAATGGACGAGAAGCGAGTGGAAAGCAGAGGGGAGAGAGGAGTACAAGTAGTGGAAGACGCAGAGGCAGAGGCAGAGGCACACGAGGAGGCAGCTGACAGACATATGTACATACATATGTACGAGTATGTACACTGGGGGGGGCGTGCGTGCCGTTTCCACTCAAAGCCAAAGGACTTCAATTGGTTGCTGAACGGAGCAACAGCGGATATGTGGCGTATGTCGCCTGTCGCCTGTCGCCTCGTTGTAGATCTGCCACAGATTTAGTCTCCCTCTCGATTTCCTTTGGGAAATAATAAAGCAGTGGGTTGACAGTGAGCTTTGAAGAATTATAAATTCTCATTTCTGGCTGAACTTTTGCGTTGCTGACGCTGCTGACTCCTGGACTCCTGAGCTGCAGGCAAGTTTACAAATTAGCTCTGGCCACAGCCAGTCCGTTCCATGCCCAACCAGTGCCAGTGCCATTGCCAGTGCCAGTTTCAATGATTGACAACTGCCTGTGGCCGCTGATGTCGAAGAGAGTGACAGGCACAAAGTTGCCATCGAGCCAGCGAGTCAGCGAGCTGCTGCCTGTACGTGCTGAAGATGAGAGAGGCCTACTACACTGACGACTGACACTTTACAGATTATGCTGGAGCCACTGGCGGGGGGCTGGATGAGATTCCACCTTAAGGGATTGCATTTCAAGGCACTTGCTATTAATTGGTTTATTTAAAGAGCCAACCACCCACCCACCCATCGAGGCAGCGCCAGATCGTGGCATTTTCCATCGCAAATTGTGGACATTTTTCATGAATTTGATTTCCCCTCCATTGTGGGTTGGATTGGATTGGATACAACGCAGCCTCGGCTCATCCCCTGGAGCCAGGACTCGGAGATTTCTTTTTTGTTGTTGCTGTTGTTGTTGTTGCTTTATATTTTAATTCAATATCTGAAACGAAACTTTAGCAAAACAGCGAATGTGTGTGACGGCAGGGTGGATGGGAGGATGGGCGGATGGGGTGAGAAACTCATTTAAATTCAATGATTCAGCTCGGCAAATGCAAGAAGCATTTTAAGCCATACAGATGGGAGGGCTGCTGCCTGTGGTAACTGAATGGGAAACGTGGGCACGGGGGCACGTAGGGAAGGAGGAGGGGCTTTGCCCAATGGCAAAGTTTCAAGCAAAACGAAAATCAGAGTTTTTGCCCAAAATTCTATTTAAGTTGAAAGCGAAACAAAGTTGCCAAAATACTCGACGTGGTTTGGCTTTGCTTTGCTTGGCTTGGCTTGGCATTCGCCTTTTTATCAAATTAAGTACTCTAAAGTGGCTAGGTGGGCACAAAGCACAAAGGGCATGGCACGAGTGCGAGATGGCAGTGGGGAGTATGTGTGGCCACCCAGAAACTTTGGCCTTTAGCTAGCTGCTGCCTAGCTAAGCCACCCCACAAGATAGGCGCAACATGCCCCTACAGCTGCGAAGTTTCAGCTCTGAACTGGGGATGACTGCACCCGACACATGGCCCACATGTCTGGGCAGAGTCTCAAGGGCAGTGCCGCCTGCTGCCTGCTGCCTGCTGCCAGTGATATTCGTATTAATATTGCTTTTAAGTATTTCCTCTGGCATTTATCCACTGGCGATGCAAATGAAAGTTCTCCAGGCACAGGCTCGGCCTGTAGTATGTGTATTAATTAAAAAACTTCATCGCAAACAAATCCCAAAGGCAGTCGGGCAGAAGATAAAGTTGAGGCAGCAATTCTTAGGCCTGGACCATGGCATGCCAATGCCATGGGGGAATTTCTGGACAATCAACGAAAGGAGATTCGATGCGAGCCTAAAAACTTCGCAGAGTTTCACTTTCTTTCTACTTGCCACAGAACAGAACAGGAGGCCAGCAACAGGCAGACAGGCAGACAGCAGACAGCAGACACATTCGGGAATCAGTGTAAGTGCTGCCAGAGAGAGAGAGAGAGAGTGAGAGAGAGAGGGCCGTTTGCCGTTGGCCAAAAACTCATTAGGCAAATTGTGAGGTGACCTTCCCTTCCCCCCCAGCAATTGTTAAAAGCAAAAAGCAGCCACAGCTGAAATCCTGCTCTGTCCAGCCAGCACTTGGCCAATGGCTGCTGCTGCTGCTGCTGCTGCTGCTGCTGCTGCTCGCACTATGCCCCAAAAGCGTAGGCGGAAGCCAGCTGTGCCTGTGCCTGTGTGTGGCATTGCAACATGTTTTCCACAGCTCAAGCAGGGAGCTTGGACTGGCTATATTTCTGTGTGTTTCTGTGTGTGTGTGTGTGTTATCCTGTAAGCAATGCTAACGACACTTTATGCATTCCACCCCACACACACACACACACACAGCGATGGCCGCCTGCTCTCGCCTGCCCAGACGAGCACTCGCCACGCCCTATCGTGTTTGTGTGTGTTGTGTGTGTGGCATAAAAACTGTTGCCGTTCTGCACAAATGTCCTGGAGCTAACGGAGCTGACTGAAATGTAATGAAAATCATACCAAAAAAGAACAAAAAAAAAGTTCAAAATTTATAACAAAAGCGGGGTGGTGAGTGGGGAGGGGGTTCCTTATCACGATATTTTACTTTAAATTCCAAACTGAATTCTAAGCTAAAATTTAAACTGAAATTTGTGCGGCGATCGCTGCCACGCACCGGAAAAAGGTGCTGCCGAGAAGAGTTGTGCCGCGGATGCCAATGACAACTGGCCGGAACTGTAACCACCCCCCCCACCCCTCCCCGCCCAACCCACTCTCGAGTGGGCTTTGTGCGACGCTCGGAAGTATCGTTGTTTATCGTTACCTTCCCTGCGTACCGCCCACCCCGTCCACGGCTTGCAAATATTCGTTTTAAATGCGCAGACCCACGACCATTTCGCCAGCCCAATGGCACGGTTTGTTTTATAGTTGCCACTAGGCTCTCATTGCCTCTGCCTTTGCCATGGCTGTTGCCTTTCTCAGCTGTGCCACAATGCCCCCTGCCCCCTGCCCCCATCGCCACCTGGAGGATGGTGTGCCATTAGGAGAATGGAATTTGCTTTTGTGTAGCTGTAATTGCGCGCCTCTCTCCGGCCGCGACCGTTGTGTAATGTTGCTTGTTCCGTGTCGGGTCCATGTCCTGCCACTGCCACTGCCCCTGCCACTGCCCCACCGTAATGCTGTAAGCCTGCTCCTGCTGCTGCTGCTGCTGCTCCTCCTCCACTGCTGTTGCGTGCCAGGTGCGTGCCGCTCGTTTTCTTGTTCTTGTTCGCTGTCATGTTTCTCTTTGTCTCATTTATCCCTCCCATTCTACAGGTCTGATGCTGCACCTGCAGCAGCAGCAGCAGCAGCAGAAGCAGCAGCAGCTCCAACCTCAGCCGCCCCATTAAAATTGTTATTTAATTTCGCAGCTTGCGCACGAAAGTATGCAATGTATTTTGCTGCCCTCAGCTTTAAGCTGCGCCCCAAAGTATGCCACGCCACACCACGCCACGTCACGCATTCCGTAGGCTCGTATTATTTTTGTCTGGGATTCAGGGATTCGGATGAACACCCTCCCCCACACACACTGGATATCCTGTAAGTGAAAACAAAAGCATGACAAAACATGACAGGACAGCGACAGATCCGCGCGTATCCAAATGCCAAATGGAATGTCCTCCATGGCTCGTGATTAAATCTGCTGCGAGCCACAACTTCTGCTTTGGGAGTGTCACTGTCTGTCCTGGCTGTCCTGGCTGTCCTGCTGTCCTGGGCTGCTAATGCGCCCAGATCATAAACATGAGCAATAAGAAGCGGCCAGTGGCGTCTTCGCTGCTCTCCTAATTGTCTGCAGCCTCTAAATTACATCTCTCCCACAAAGCCCTCTCCCACACAGCTCTCCCACACAAGCCAAGGGCCGTCATGTTGCAAATGTCTTTTTAATAGCTTCAAACGGACTAAGGGCTGAGGGCTGAGGGCTGCTGCTGGCAACAGGACGCCACGCCACGCCACGCTGAGACAAGTGTTTGATTTGAAGTTATGTAATGGCCTCTGCTGCTGCTGTCATTTTGGATACTGAGCCAGCAGACAGGAGACAGGCTACTGCCAATAGCAAATTCCAATATTATTATTTGAATTTTTCATGGTGCGGCCCCAGAGGAAAGCAGGGAAAATTGCTTGCCCCTTTTGGTTTCTTTCTGCTTAGGCCTAGGATGCAGGGGGAATTTTTTTCTTGGAAAAGCAAAGCCGCAGCAGACCTCAGAATCGGTTTTGCCACAGGGCCAGGACGCGATAAAGGAAGGAAGGATTGAAGGGGGTAAAGGGAGAGAAAGCCCGCCCCACCGAATAGATGTATGCCCCCCTTTTATTGTCCTCCCACGCCCACGCACCACTTGCTGTTGTTTTTTTTTTGTTTGTTGTGCGTGGAAATGAACTCCCTTTGCCCTTCTAGGGCCTAGTCAATAAAACGATCCACATGCGACGATAATCATAAAAAATTATTTTAATGCTGCCCCATCATGCGCCGCACGCCACACACACACACACACACACACACACAGAGAGACACATACATATGTATGTGTTACCATTCCGCTTATGTGTTTCCGCTAATTGAAGAAGGGGGGGAAGAAGGGGCGACGAAACCAGGCCGAAACTTTTGACGTCAACGCCAATAATTGGGGGCAGATTATGTCTAACAAGGGCTAAGACTCACCCTGCGAGAACTGGAACAGCTTGCAGAGGAACTCGCCGAAGATGAAGTTGCGCAGCAGGGTGCCCACGAGGGTGACGGGCATGCAGAGGACGCCCAGCAGCATGTCCGAGATGGCCAGATTCAGCAGAAAGACGTTGGTGATGGTCCGCATGCGACGGTTCTGCACCAGGGTGGAGATGACCAGCAGATTGCCGAGCACGGCGAACAGCAGAATGACGCTGTAGCTGGGTATCAGCCAGACGGGCATCTCTGTGGTGCTGGCGCTGCTGGAGACGATGGAGATGGATCCGGGACTGGCACTGGCGCCCGATCCAGAGCCAGCACCAGAGCCGGAGCTGTCGCCAAAGCTGTAGATCGTGCCAGCCGCCTCGGTGACCAGGCTGTGCTCCAAGCGTTGCTGCCCCAAGAATACATTTCCAGATCCCAGGCCATCATCGTAGACGTTGATGCTGTCGCTGTTGTTGCCACCGCCACCGCCGCCGCCGCCGCCGCCCGCGTACGAGGGCGATGATGTACCGTTGAACGGGACGACGGTCAGCGAAACGATGTGACCCGCCGCACTGGGCGCGTTGGCGTAGTAGTCGAGCAGCGCCCTGTACGCAGCCGCCGCTGCCATGGCCGTTTGGGCAGCATCCTCCGCACTGTAGGTGTACATCCTCCCAGAGAGAGAGAGAGAGAGAGAGAGAGAGAGACGGACGTCGCGACGCCCTGCTCGATGCGATCACAAGGGCCCAAACGGATGCCAGGGGAGCATTGTCGGGATGGCTATCCGCTGCGAAGGATCTCACACGAAAAAATTTGTAACTCAAAGAAAATTCAAAGGACGCTTGCGCGCAGGGGGTACACGGGGGGGCACGGGGGTGACACTGGCTACCGATTAACGGGGTAAATCTGCGATTTCGATTTGGATGCCGGTCCGAGGACGAGGACGAGGACGAGTACGAAGAGCGCTCGTCCTTGCCTGCTTACCGTTAAGTTACCGTTATCGTGGGCAACTGACGGGCGAAGCCGCCGCCTCGTTTGAATGTTTCGCTGTGGCAGCCGCAACATGTTGCGTGGGCGTCTTGGAACTCACCACTCGCAACTTGTGGCAGCAACATGCGGCAGGGTCCCCAAGAATTAGGCATGTGCTGGCGCTGGTGCAGGTGCTGCTGGGGTTCCTCTGACATTTGGTACATATGTATGTAAAAATCCAGTTCTGGGGGGGATCAGTGCAGGGGCAGCATGTTGCAACATTACAACATTAAAAGCGACTAATCCAGCAATGCCAATGGAGGGGTTTCTATGCCCAGTTCTCCATGATAATGTGGAATACTTATTTGCTAGTATTGCTGGGGCACATTGCGGGGGCATACTGTAGTACAGTGTCGCTGCATGGCCTGCATGACTACTCGCCAAAACTGCCGTTCAGATTTATATTACCCTCGCTGCTGCAAGGGTATCAAAATGATGCCAAATGCGGCAAAGTCGTTACACTCGCCTGCCTCCGCTTCGACCTCCGCCCCGCTCGATCAATCTCACTCTCACTCACTCACTCTCTCTCTCTCTGTCTCTCTCTCTGTCTCTCTTTGCCGCTTCGCCACTGCCGCTGCTGCTGCGCTGCCTGGTGAATCTTTATCAGCTGCGGCGGCGTCTGTGCCGTCTCGCTCACACAATTGGCGGCTGCGCCGACGTCGCGGCGATCCCCTCTTCGTTGGAGTTGCGAACGCCGGGCACAGCCGCATTCGCTTTTTTCGTGCTGGACGGTTCGGATGCCTTAGCTGGGGCTCTGCTTTTTTTTTATCGTTAAATATTTTTGTTTTCGTTTGTCACTTGCTGTGCACCAAATCAATTCGCTGGCCAGCCACACAACGCCACACAAGCGGACTAGGACAAACACGGCTGACACGCTGACACTCTGCCAAAAGCACAAGAAGAAGAGCAACTGCACTGCGCTTGCCTGACCCCCCGACGGCGGCCGGCAGAGATTCGTTGAACTCTCCTGCAGCACAGCAGCACAGCATCCCAGTGGACCGGACCGGACCCTCGAAGTGCAGCAAGCGTAGCAGCAGCAGCAGCAGCACCAGCAGCAGCAGCATCCCAGCATCCCAGTTCCCAAGAATCCAAGAATCCACACGCATCCACCATGTCGGACGGCATCGAGGTTGAGCAGATCGTGGAGAGCAAGCCGAGAAGGGTGAGTTGAGTACTTGTAATCATCCTTCAGGGCGCTATATTTTATATATATGAACAATACATACATACATGTACATATGCATGCATTTACATATGCATGTATGTATGCACATACATATGTGTATAAAATACTGTATACTGTATACAGAAAGTAATAAGTGCGGCAAAAGACAAGCAACCGAAAATTAAGAATTATAAAAGATTCGATGGGGAAACCGAGAGAGCAAAAGAAACGGGCCAACAGAATAGAGAGACAGCAGCAAGACAGAGAGACAGCAAGACAGAGATGGAAATGGAGATGTGGAGATGTGGAGATGTGGAGATGGGAGAGCGAATGAGTCTGAGAATGGGAGACGGCGATTGAGAAGAGGGACCAGCAAAAGGCTGGAGTTGGGCCCAGACCGATTGAGTATCTCTGTGTGTGTGTGTGTGTATCTCTTTTGCGTGTGTGTGTGCCGGAGCATGTTGGGTTTTAAAATAACTCTGACTTTGGCGGTGTGTCCACAAGAACCGGCCCGGGGCCCCATATCCCAGACCCCAGACCCCAGACCTGAGACCCGACCGACACAGGCACGAAGGAGAGAGACAAAAAAGCGAAAAGGCACACCGTGCCATGCCATGCATATATTCCACAGGCACAGTCAGTCGTCGGCGGCTCCTTATGCGGGGGCGGATGCAGCAGCCGCCGTTGGGGCGACGCATACGCATCTGACCCGCTCTATGCATATCGTTATTGCTGCCGTGCCGTGCCATGCCGTGCCGCAGACGCGCAAGTATCAAGTTCAAGTGCGAGTTGTTTCTGCTGCTGCTGCTGCTGCTGCTGCACTTGTTACAGTTACATTTGTACCCTGCCACTGCGCCGATTCATTCTACTTATATCAGAATCTTGTTGATGTGGTTTATGCGGCGGCTGGCTAGCCACAATGCCAGCAGTGTTCAACATTTCTCTGCTCTCGCGATAACGGTGTTTTTCAGCTGTCAAAATAACAGTAGCAGCGCAGCGCAGCGCAGCAGCTCTTGTGGTGTGAGTTCTTGTGTGCTGCCTGCATGTTCGTGTGTGTGTGTGTGTGTGTGTGTGTGTGTATGGGGGTGGGAGAGAAGTCATCCCCAGTGACAGTAGGCCCCTATTCTTTGTGCCCTTCAACCGATCGGATCGCACATCATGCACTTCAATTGTGTTATTCCTCCACTCTCCACTCTCCAATCTCCAACTCACTCGGCTAAACCTAATCTCTGGCGGAGACGAGCGACCATTTACGGTTATAGCGCTCACTCAATAAGTCCCAACAAAGCGCAACAATTGGGGGAATTGAAACAAATGCGTCAAAGCAACAGCGCAGCAGCGGAGCGGAGGGGTGAGCTGTCAGTAGCAATGCCAATAAATAATAAAGCACTCACATATGTACATAAATACATACATTATATGAGTATGTCTGTGCATATGTATGTACGCACAATGTCGTTAGCTTTTCAGCTGCATCACTGCCAACTTTGGGTTTGGGTTTGGCGTTGGCGTTGGCGGTGCTATCAATGTCAAGTGGTCGATTCAGCCGTAAAACGTATAATAAATATTGGAGCTTTCATTTGCAGCGATAGAAGGAGGAGTACAGAGAGCTAGAGAGAGAGAGAGAGAGAGAGAGAGGACATTCGAATAGTCTCAATCGGACATGCACGATCGTGTCTCTTTTCTCTTCGGGTTGCCTCGCCAGAGCGCTTCCTGGCATGCCAATTCTGGTCATACACTGCTCTCGCCACTCGAGTCATCGTCACCTTCGTGTGTGCAAGTGTGACTCACGCAACAGCAACAGCAACCAACAGCCGCCAGCAGAAACAGATTGCTCCTTTGTTTCATGAATGCACTGCTTGCATACATACACATGTACATGTGCGTGTGTGTGTACAAAATAAACCGAAAAACAGAAGAAATATTAAGGCGCAGAGAACAACGACAACAAACGCATTGAATCAGACACAGAAACAGCAGCGGACTTTAAAAAAAGAACAGCAGCAGCATCAACAGCAACGAGTGGCGGGCGGACGGGCGGTCGGCGGCGTATGCCCAGACCAGGCCAGAGGCAATGAACGCTTGGCCGCCACGCCGACTGCGCAGTCGAAGCGGCGCAAGTACGTCATGACAAATGCATCGCTGCGCCGCTGCCGTCTTAAAGCAGTTCGGTAAGCAATTTGTCACCAAATTGTTTTCTTTGTTTTTGCTTTTTTTGGCAGCGATCGAAAACCGATTCGCAGCCCAATCGGTTAGGCGGCGGTGAGCAATTTTCTAACGACCGCTGGAGAAGGGGAAACTTCCTGCTTCCTTCCACAAAAACGTTCTGCTGCTGCTGACTGGCTCAATCTCGACCCTTCTGGTGACTCATTGAACCTCTGGCAGTGTTGCTTTCATGAGTATTATGAGTTCATCTTATTCGAAATCCTTCGAATTCGTCACTTATCTGAAATTCGTTAGTCAGCAGCTGCCCCACACCCCCTGCTGCTGCCAGTCCCCACGAAGGATACTTGGAGACGCGTACAATCCGACCCAAAAAGAGAGATTAGTACACCGAGACAGTTAAAATGGGCATTGAAGTGGTTGGTTGGTTGTGGCTGTTGGAGCAAGGGGGAGGGGCTCGTAATCTCGTATTCAATTGGTTTTATGGGGGGGCGGAAACGTTTTGTTTGGTTTCATTTGCAAGGCTCTGAACGGTATATTGATACCCTGTTTACAAGGGTATTCTCCAACTGACTTTCCGTCTCAGTTTCGGTTTCATGGATTTCCCCACCATGCTTGGCTAGCTGCAATTACTGCTTAACTGCTCACTGCTTAACTGCTTACTGCTTATTGCTCTGCTTGCTTTTGTTTTTAGCCTTACTCAATATTACACATTGGTGATATATTGATAGATACATATGTACATACATACATAGTACACAAACAATAGATACAAATACAAAGTTAGTTGTCTGTACTATGTACATACATACTTATATGGCTCGTTATTACGTTTCTATCAGATATGGTTGCATGCCAAGCAGATGGCAAAACAAAACAAAAGCCAAAAATAATAACAAAAACGTAGCTTTCTTAATGGCAATGGGATTGGGAGTAAGTAGGAAATTGAACCAACAAATTCTGCATTTGATATACTCAGCTCCGCAGCCGTTCAGCGTGTCCAGTCCATTGCCAGATACTTACTGTAGATACAGGGATACATTGCCTCATATCTCATATCTCATACCTCTCGATGAAGTCATTCTCCTCTGCTGCTGCCTGCTGCTGTGATAAACAATAATCAATTATTAAAGTGCTACTGTTTATCGCTAAAACATGAACCAGTGCATGCCATTCAGGCGGCTCCGTTCAGGCTCTCTCCAGCGTAGGCCATTCTATTCCATTCCCCTACCCCATCCCCAGTACGTGCCCCGCCGCTCATCCCTTTCTTCAGCTATGGCCGTGTGTGGCTCTGTGACTAAGCGCCAACCCCCCAAAAAGTACTACAGATTTTTATGGCGTGTGAAATTGGAACAGGCGATCGTATCCACTGCCAGAGGCAGCATTGGAGGGAGGGAACTCCTCCAAGAAATTTCAGCTGTAAATCAATTCGAATTTTTAAAGTGTGTCGTTCTGCGTACTCTTATCAGTGCACAGACGTCAATTCCAGCCCCCCACCACTCCCTGCTGTGATAAGTACGATAAGGCCGCTTCATATCTGAGTGATCCACAGGCACAGGCACAGGCACAGACACGGCCACGCCCTGTTGAGCGGCGCAGTCGCAACCAGTCGCTGCCGCTGCCGTTGCCGTTGCCATTGCCAACTGCCGCATCGGATCTAATTTGTTTTGTTGTCACAGTGCTGTGCTATCAGAGATAATGTGGCCTGGCTATCGGGCTTATCAGCTGAGGATATGGCTAATTTTAGCCATTAACATTCATTCGCTTGTGCCTTGTGGGGGGCGAGGGTATCTCCCAATCACCCTTCAAGCTTTCCTTTTGGGAAGAACCAGTGTCTGTCCGCTTGTCTCTGTTTCTCTCTATTCTTCACTTACATTTGGGCCATTCTCTGATTTTAGGCACACAATTCGCATTTCGCATTCGCATTTCGCATTCACATTTCGCATCTTTTGACTAATTAATTCCACTCTCAGCCTCAGCCTCAGCCACAGCCACAGCAGAGACCGGGAGGGAGAGCGAGCAAAGAACGGCCGTCAGTCCAAGCTGTGGGGTCCAAGCACCGCAGCAAAGTTCTCATCGCGTTTGTCGTTTCGTTGTGAAAGTCGTCGCCTAAATCATTTTAGTATTTAATTGTTTGGTTTTTTTTTTGGTTTTTTCGTTTTATTTTCTTCTATATTTTCGGCAGACGTTGCCGTTGCTTCTGCTTTCTGTCCGGGGCGCACTCTCCTCCTAAATCGCTTTGCGCTTTTCTAATTGATTTTTCTCACACACACACAGAAGTCCGGTCATTGAACGCATTATGGAGCGCGTCTCCCATCTTTGTATCTCTATTTCTATGCGTTCTATGCCCCCTGTTCCTGCCTCCAGACCTGGCCTGCTGAGGCTGAGTCTCTCTGTTGCCAGCTCAATCTTTGTTCAATCAGCCGCAAAGATTCAAAGTTAGTTGACAAATCTTTGACCCGCTTTCTGATTGAAAATTAGAAAAAATTGTCACGCGCAAATTGCTTCCGATGCGATCAAGTGATCGGATCCATAAGCCCGAGAGAGCCCACCACAGCCAACAACACACAGTCACAGATACATCTGATAGATACATAGATAGATAGATAGATACAATAGTTCATTTATTTTTTGGTGCGCTAATCCGGGAAGAAGAGTTAAAGCCAGTGGCGTGTCTCAGTTTCGTCTTCCTGACACGGAATCCAATTCAATTCAATCCAATCGAAACGAAACGAATCGAAAGCGAAAGTACTGATGTCCGTCATGAGTATGTACTTGCCACTGGCTGAGTGGGCAAGTAAATTATTCAGATACACACACAGGCACACAGGCACACAGGCCCACACCATACATAGCACTCTTTATCGCTGGCACCCAGTGGCACGATAGTGGACTGCATGGAATGCATAAAGCAAAGGCAAAGCCAAAGCTAAAGCTAAAGCTAAAGCCAAAGCCAAAGCGTTGGCGGCAGCCAACTCCATCGCTCAACGATCTCTCAATGATGATTCATGAATACCTCAATAATCTTGCCTTGGCTTTTTTGCTTACAGATGCCCCTGGCAACGTCGCTGGACAAGGACGCCATTCGCGAGGCCTACGAGGACGTGCGCTCTGATCTCACAGACACAGAGTGGGCGGTCTTCAAATTCGATGGGCCACAGATAATCGTCCATGGCCGGGGCCAGTGCTTCGAAGAGTTCCGTCAGCAGTTCGGTGACTCGGAGCGCGCCTTCGGCTACATACGCATACAGATGGGCGATGAGATGTCCAAGCGCAAAAAGTTCATATTCCTCACGTGGATCGGCCAGGAGGTGGGCGTCATTCAGCGGGCCAAAATGTCCACGGACAAGGCCATCATCAAGGATGTCCTCAATGTGAGTACACACAGTACAATAGAGACCGAGACCCAGTGATAATATAATTCTTGCCCTTGCAGAACTTTGCCGTGGAGCTGCAGGCGGGCGTGGAGCCAGAGCTGGACATTGGCCTATTCCGCGAGGCGCTGAACCGTGCCGGTGGTGCCAACTATGGCACGGGCATCCGGGACAACTAGCACCGTCGCGCGCTCTGCACTTATCTCCCCCCCCCCCCCCCCTTCTTTTTTTTTTTTGTGTGCATCTCTTCAATGGCCTACCCAAACTGCTCCTCTTTCTACTTAATTATTATGAATTAATTGTATGCAATTTTAAATTTATGTAATATGTAAAGACAAGAACAAAAGAAAAAATAACACACGGATAACTAACACTCGACATGGGGTAGGGGTGCAGGGCATCGCTACCAGAAAGCAGCAGAGCGCAGAGTTGGTAGAAGGAACAGCCCAGAGGAAAGTCTCTACTGGGAATATTATTTGCAGTGGCTCCAATTTTGATTTTGCAACTGGTTATTGTTCGTCTAGCAACTTGTCTAGTTAAGTGTTTTATTTATTTTAACATACGCTGTGTGGATTGATGTGTTGATGAACTGATGAAGAAATCATTTGAAAGAGGTTTCGATTGAGGAGGATGCATGTGGCATAGCACGCGGAGTATATGAAAGATGTTTTGTCTTTAGTTTACTTTTTATCTAATTTACTAATGGCCGTTCTGTCCGCAGCAGCCGTTCAGCCCATCAGCCAATCAGCGGTCCCGGAAGAGCACAGAGTGCAGGGCATCAATGTCTACCTCGACGCCAGATGAGTTTGTGGTGACAGTACGTGAGCTGCAAGTGGGTTGGGTTGGGTTGGTTTGGGCAGGGGGTTAAATTAATACTCTGTATGGGTAATTAATGGCTTGGAGACTCACCTGGCTGAGTGGGCCGAGCGATTAGACGAGTGCGGATTGATCAGCACACAGTGCATCGGCTGGCCATCGAACTCGCGATGATGGTACGAGTCCACGGCTATTTCGGCGTGCTCCAGCGACTTGAAAATTACTTCGGCGGTGCCGGGACGCACCACATGGGCATCGTACATGGGTCCGATGTCGTTGAACAGCTCCCGAATGTCCGAAGTGGTCACATTCGAGTGTAGATTGCTCACCAGCAGGCGATAGCCCTTCTTGTTGTTCGCCATGCCAAGCGGCGGGGAGCGGCGTGCGGACATGGAGAGAACCATCGATGGAGACGCATTCGAGCTATTGGCCTGCCCCTTGTTCTCGTTGGCGTAGATGCCATGGGAGACGCGACGATCGGGCTCACCGCCGAACAGACGTGCCCGCAATGAGTCCGACAAATTGGAAGTGGCAGCCAGCTGTCGCCGACAGCGGTCAAAGAGCTGCTCACCCCCGTCCGTGCGGACAACGTGCGGTCCGTGCGGTGCCGGCAGCATGGGCCGCTCGATACGGTTGCGTGCCGTCTCGTATATGGAAAACGGATCGCTGGCAATGTTATTCTGCATGGGAGCCGTCGTCATCTCCACGTCCTCATCTCGGTTCACATGGAAGTTGGCATAGCTATAGCGAGACGGCTGCACATTGCTGTTGCTCCCCAGATGCACGGCGGTGTGGTGGACCTCCTCTGAAAAAGCAGCGTCAGCGTCAGAGAGCCAGAGCGAGCTAAAATAGACTTACCGTCCTCGAGATGCTGCATATTGTCGTGGTCCACATAGCCACGTGGTGCGAACGGTTTGGCCGAGGGATTCAGTCTGGAGTTGAAGGGTCCGGCAGCCGAAGCCGATGCCGAATTTCCCTTCTGATTATAATAGTCGCACATTTGGTGTATATTGCCAACCGGTCGATTCGACATGGTAACCATGCGCTGGCCAAACTGACCTATGTGCTCCTGTGCTCCGCCACGACTTCTACGATCCTCCGGCACGTATTTCACAGGCATTGGTACGCGGTGGTCCTTTGGTGGGAATTTCTTTCGGTCCATCATCAGGCGAGCCAGGCCTTGGCTCACAATGGCACCTTGGGGATCCTCCGCAGCGTATTCGACGGGCACTGGCCGTATCTGCTTCTTTCGCTCCATCAGCAGCTGGCGGGCATCAATGCCGGACTCGCGCATATTCTGGTTGAGGACATCGCGAGCATCGGTGATTTTCGCACGTGTCTTCTGTATGATCTTGTTGCGGGCATCATAGGTACGAGAAGCCGGTTGATCCGACGGCAGCCCCCCCACCATTCCTGTGCCCGCCTTGAAGGCTGGCTTGTTCACCAGCTTTCGTATCTTGTTGTTCCCATTTGGATTGCTGCACGGAACAGAGAGAGGCAGAGTAGGATAGATAGCATTTAATCGAACGCCATTTTTGCTGCTTTTTTTCTTTTCTTTTCTTTTACCGCTTCGCTTCGCTTTTTACACTTACAATTTCTTGTCGTTTGGTCGGCCGCCATGAGCGGGTCGCAATTGTCGCCGCTCGATGATCTCGTCCAGGCTCAGTGTACAGCAGTCCATCGTTTTATTGCCAGCCATATTATATGTAATTTGTATCGACAAGGGAACTACAAGATAATAAATACTTTGAAAATGTTGCAAAGTAAAGTAAAATATTGCAAGCGGGGTGTGTAAGTGCTGGAAAATGAGCAAAAACGAAATGTGACCATACCTCACGAGGAATTGAAGTCGCACTCATCGCACTCAAGTATCGCCATTTCTTGTGCATCGATAACATCCGAGTAGTATCAAAAGTCGCGGCTAAATGTGATCTCACGATGTGAAACAGCAAGTTTACTTCAGATATGAATTTAAATATTGCATCCCACAAAATAACCACATTGATATTATCGTGCAATAGAAAAATATCACTCACAAATATATCATCAACATGCAATACATATCGAATCGATTTATTTATTTAAGATCACACCACTCGCACAACAACAATAGAGTAACAAAATAAAAGAAAACTTAAAACGGCACCAACTGATTTCATTATTGTTTCATTTGGAGTGAGAGCGCTCTCGTGTTTTTTTGTTTTGTGTTTATTTGCCATATAATTTAGTGATTGCGCAATTTGGAGTGCCTCTTTGGCCTCAGTGCCTCAGTTCTTGTGTGAGTGCGAGCGAGAAGAGTGTGCTGTGCTGTGTTGTTGTGTTGGTGTTGGTGTGCGCGTGCGGTGTGAGTGTGCATAAACAACAACAAATAAAGAACGGGTAAAACTACGGAATTGATTAGTACGAGTGGAAGTTTTTGATGGGCAACTCGCAAACAAGGCATGACAACAGAAGGACATCGCAAAGCACTCGTGAAGCAGCGGCTCAGCGCCATGAACTAATCGAAACAGAAGCACCCACAACTGCAACTGCAACTGCATCCACGACAAGACCACAGCAGCAGCAGCAGCAGCAACCAGAACAGCCACAGAGACGAAAACAGTCGCTACCTTTGACAACCTTTGGCTGTGGCGGCAGCAGTAGAAAATCCCTACACAGACCTCCTCCTGCCCATCCGGAGCCCCAGGCCGTGTCCGTGTCCGAGCCCGTGCCCGTGGCAAGCAACAGCATCGGCGTCGTCGTCACAGCTGAGCCAGAATCACAACCAGCAGCTGCTGCTGCATCGACTTTGGTAGGATTGCAGCAGCCGCAGCCGCAGCAGCAACCACGCTTGCAGCAGGTTCGTACAATGTGGGGCACAGGCTGATAACACAGTACATACATACATACGTACATACTTATGTATGTACATGTGCACATACATACATTGTATTGTGTATTGTATTGTATCGATAGAGTACATAGTTTTACCCGCTGCAGAGGGGTTGTCCATTTACTTTTTTGTCATCGGTGTTTGTTTATTTTCCGTTGTGTTGTCTGTTAAAATAAATACTGCGTCATTGAGACTGGTGTATGCTTCGCATTTTCCCATCGAATGGGCAAATGAATTACGACGCGGCCTGGCCTGGCCTGGCTTTGGCTTTGGCTTTGGCTCTACTCTCTCTGTTCTCTCTCTCTCTCTCTAACCGACCTCAGGCTTGATCAAGATTTCTAGGCCACGATATTCTGACTGGAGAGCACGTGTTTGGGGGGCTTTTCTAACAGTAAATATCCGTACTTTTTTAATGTTTTCATTTTGAGTACAAAAATACATTTGCATATACATGTGTGTGTGTGTGTGTGTGTATGTATATTTCCGCATTCGCACATTTTCATTGCCATGCTATTTACCGCTGCGCAAATTCTGGCGTCATCAGCATATATGTAAATATGTATTCCACAAACATATGTACACACATGTAGATTATGCGTTATCAAATGTATGTGTATGAGTTCTCTTTCACTTGCTCACATGCGGGAGCGGAATTTCGATCAAAATGTTTGCCATTAATCTCAGTTGGGGAGCAGCATCGAAAACATAAAAAGAGCACAAAAGAATGCATATGTATGTACATACATATGTATTTATGTACGTGCACATGTGTGCGTAAACATATGGTGGTACAAGTGACCTCACTCAAGGAATGATCGGGTCGCTACAGGCGCGGGTGCTTTTGGCCTGGATTCCATGGGACATTTAAGCATAAAATTATTAAAGAATTGTTATCAGAGATAGTTTCTAGAAATGCCCCCAGACAGTATACACACATACACATATTCCGTTATCTTGAACAGACCCACCCACTCACCCTCCTAGCCATCCCTGTGATTACAAACCTGACCAGTTTCGTGGGCCACCACTGTATTTATTATGTGTGTGTGTGTGTGCCGAGTTTATTTCGCTCTCGCTCGCTCTCTCTTTTCTTACGTTCGCTTACGTTGCGCTCAGCTGTTCGAAGATCGTTTTTAGTTTTTGGCGGCTGCTGGCTGCTTCACATGCTTGCAAAATAAATAAATATTCAGCCAGGCCAGGCCAGGCCAGGCAAAAAATATAAACATTTTCGCACTCAGAATTAACGTTTTCCAATATCTCTCCGATTCCAGCAGCTTTCCACCTGGAGCCTAGGCAGTCTTAGCGGCGGACGCCTTAATTGGAGCTTTTCGGCTGCTCGCAATTCCTTTCGGCATCGGAATAAGGCCACACGCAAGAGGTAAGCATCCGAGGTACTCGTAAGAGTCTAGCCGCAGTCATATTAACATTTCATGAACATTGTTTTGCAGCTCGTCATCGCTGCAGGGCTTCCGTCGCAGAAAAACGCAATGGCACCGTCCGCTGACGAATTCGATATTTAATTCGCATTTCAAGGAAGCCAGCCGCAACGATCAGTTCCAGATTGAACATCTCGTGGCGAAGGGAGCCTTCGGTGTGGTCTTCAAAGTGTGCAATAGGACCGACAACAGTTCATGCTACGCCCTCAAAGTTCTTAAAAAATCAAAGGTGGCTAAGCGACAGATTGCTCTGGTTAAATTACATATTTAAATAACTCTCATGTACGTACCAATTGCAGCTGATAGAGGACAACAGCGTGCAACAGATAAAGGACGAGGCGGATATACAGAAAGTGTGCGGTCATCACCCGTTCATCGTGCAGCAAATAGATCTTTGGCAGAACCGTCACAACCTTCATATCCGTATGTTGACTGAGAATTTGCTTTAATCATTTGGGGGCTCACATGACCCTGACCACTCTCTCCTTTTGCAGTATCCGAATATATACCGAATGGCGAATTGTTCTCGAAAATTGTCCACTTCTCCGTTGACCTAGTGCGCCTATATATTGGAGAGATTGCCCTAGCAATCGGTGAGTGTTCATGAATGGCTGATTATCCGGCTATGAATCATCTGCCGATAGCGTAATGCAAAAAAGCAAATAACAAAAGCGATATCGCTGATTAGATTCGTGTATTAACTTGTGGCCCATTCGTTTACAGATTTTCTGCACAACGCCGGCATTATCTACCGCGATGCAAAGCCCGAGAACATTCTGCTAACGCAACAATTTCACATCAAGCTGACAGACTTCGGTCTGAGCAAGTGGCTCAAACTGGGTGCAAATACGCGCACCATATGTGGCACTTTCAAATACATGGGTACGATCTGAACCAACTTTAAACAAACAAAAACAAAAACAAAAAACAATTACAAATAATAAGCAAAAAAGAACACCTGTGTAACACAACAGACACACACAGTTAGCTAGTAAGAGGCGCCGCGCCGCTCCGCGCCGCCCCGTTCCATCGGAAATCAAACTCAAATCGTTCAAAGGTATTTCCACTACCCAAAGGAAAGCCCGAACCCCATAAGACAATTTATTAGCAGAAGCAACAGTAGGAAACAGTATAGACAGCAGCAGCGCAGGGCAGGGCAGGGCTTATACCTTATAGAGAACATATAGAAATTAAGTTGAATGTAAATTAGAATCTAAATGCAGGCAACCATTACTGGCAGACAGTAATTCAACTAAAAGCAAACTGTGAGACCGAGACCGAGACCTAAAAGCCTAAAATTGAAGAACAAACGAAAAAGGAAAGAATTCTGTAGCAAGTGAAAAGCGTGGAATACAAAATAGAGGAACGGAGGAGCAGAGCAGCCTCAAGCATAACCATATCCATCCCCTAAGCACTGTAAATAGCCAATATACAAATAGATAAAACGACACAATGAACGCGCGCTCGCAGGTGTTCGATCTGACTATGGAGGGCCTGCAGGTGGACGAGGCGGTGACCACCATCTTCCAGACAGTACTCTTCCATCGTTGCCTGGGAAAGTTTATGTACACGGGCGACGCCCAGTACTCGATCGGCACCGTCGGCTACACGGATGTCGACTGCAACTTCATCGACTTCACCTATGTGTGCTGCACCTCCGACAGCCTCACGCACAAGGTGAAGCGCGCCATCAACTTGTTCAGCGAAAAGTTGCGCTCCAACGAGAGCTGCGGCTCGGGGCAGATAAGCTTGGAGTTCTTTCAAAAGAAGAAGAACCGCTGGCCATTCCCGCAGGAGTCCATCCCGTGGGAGGTGTGGACGGTGCACCTCGATCTGATCAAGCACGAGAACGAGGACGAGCGGCAGCTGTGCCGCGAGAATGTCTCTGATCTCCTGACCGAAAAAGTCATATACATTACCGAGCTGATGAATCGGCACGACTATGTGCCCAAGACACCCAGCCAGAGCGAGCTGGACCTGATCTTCGACACATCCTTCCCCGATGTCCAGCCGTATTTGTTTAAGTTCGATTACTCCACCTCTGGCTCGGCGGCTCCCTCCATGGGCAATGCCATGAAAAAGATCATCAAGGAGACGCTCGCAATGTGACTGGCTAAAGCTAAACGAGCCCCAATCGAATCGTTTTACGTTTGCGTTTACGTTTACGCTTACGTTTACTTACTGTAGAAATACCAAAACAAAACAAGTGAGCGCGAAATTCCATTCCGCTACCAAGAGTTGGGCCGGCCTACCTCCCCAAGCCCAAAATTCAAAATTTAAAAATTTTGCTATCATTATTTTCCTGCTTTTGGGCAACAGTTTGTGCAGCATATTTCGATCCGATCCGAGCCATTTGTAATGGTGATAATGATAATCCGAGTACGAAGTAGTTAAATATTTATTGTGTGCCCCCGCACCCCCGTTCCCATGCTGAGCTTGAATCTAGTATGTAAAGGGCGGAGTCCGCCTGGAAGTTCGCTTTGTTACTACTTTTAGTTGTTATTGATGGATTTTGTTAGTGCAGATGTGAGCCTTGTGCGGTGTAGTGCCAGAAATTGCAATATCCATATGTAGATTCGATTCGGTTTATCTGCTAGTTGGTACAGTTGCAGGAGAGAGGAGGTGGGTACACTGCGTGACCTATAGAAGAAGCCTCTGTGCAGCTTTTTAGTTCATATAACATGGGGGAGTCCGCCCCGAACATATATAAAGTTTCGCTTTGCTGTTTGTATTTACAATCATTAAATGGTTACATCAGAAGAGTTAGAGCTAGAGCTAGAGCTAGAGATAGTCGTAGGTCCCCTTAGAAAATGTTCGTTTAAATGTGTTCCATGCAAAAGAGTAGGACGGATAGAGAGAGAATGAGTGAGTGAGAGCGAGCGAGATGTATAGGAAGTGATGTGGATATGGTCATGTGTGATTTGTGGTTCTATTTTTCTTTAAACACTTCAAGCCTTGGTTAGAACGAAAACAGAACCGAAACAGCTACAGCTACAGCTACAGAATATTACTCATTGATGGACCAAGCGTAAAAGTAAAAGTGAAAGTAAAAGATACATAAGTTTTGATCAGTAATTCTATCGATAAATCTGCATTAGATGATCCCCCGGCTAATTTAACAATTAAACTTAGGCTAAACTCATTAGTGGGCCAAACACCCCACCAAATCAATCAATCAAACGGCCCACGCGTCCCCAAAAGCTACAAAAGCTACAAAAGCTTAACTTGAGCACCCCTAGCAACTAAGTATCTAAGTATCAATGTATCTGTGTGCGTATGTACATTTATTGTAAGTGTGGATTCGGTGCGGCATATTCCATTCGATTAGCTTGAACTAACGTGTTACTTAATACCTTACCTTACCTTACCTTACCTTACCTTACCCATATGTTATCGATCAGTGTAAATAATAATTGAAACACACGAATATGCAAAGAGAGAGAGAGAGAGAGAGGAGTGTGGAGTGTGGAGCGCGAGAGAGGATGGATGGTGGTAATTATTTTGATTAAATGATTGTGATTGTACTTGTAGTGATTAAATTATAGTTTTAGCAAGTACCAGACGCAAGAGCGACAAAGGGACAATGAGAAAGAGAATTTAATTGCTAGAAGCTCCGACTAGCTTGAATGTTGCACTTGAATACACTTCATCTAAAGCTGGAAAGCGCAAGAGCCAGAGCACGAAAAACAAATGATGATCGATCCAATTTTATAATTGAAAAATCCGTGAAGAAGATGCCTCAAACTATGATATATGTGGATGTGGATGTATGGAAGATACTGCTGAAGGAAATATGATTTGTAAAGATTAAAGATTAATGATGATTCTATGCGGACTATGCGGAATGCTATCAGAGTATCAGAGGCCAGCACAAAATGTTGCACTTGGAACTTGTACAGTTTGCTTGGCGTTTTTACTTTCTGTATTAGTTTAACTTTTGTTAAATTTAATTAGCGCACCGCACCGAATCGAATCGAATCGAAGTATGTCTCTGTAACTATGTAAATCGATGTCTGTGTGTATGTATTGTATGTGTGTCCAAGCTATAAACGTAAAACAACAAACAACCATAAATGTAATTTGCAATTAAAAACTATTATTGTAAAATCGAATTAAGCAGAATAAAAACTTTGAATCACAACAACAACAACAACAGCAACCTGAATCAAAGTAGAAATGTAATTGGCCTTGATTCCTGATCCAATTGAGTCCAATAAACATAGAACAAACCATCTAAATCGAAATTATCAAAGCTCTAAGATGCCAGCTGTGAGTGTCCGAATCGATATTCGATGCTGTTCAGCTATGTACATTTACATACTCGCATGTATGTATATCTATCTGATATGCAAGTGTACCTGTTAATAAATGGATTTTCGATAGCCCCTATTCATACATACATATGTAGTATATCAGTTATCAGTACCCACTCTTCGGTATGCCGAAGAAACTTTTAATATTCAAAGATTTATTTGTTTATTATTTGTTGTTTATTTGTGTGTGTGTGTGTGTGCTCCCTTTCTTCCTTCACCAAATATTGTTTGTCGGGTGGGTAAAACATTCGCTCCACTCTCATATCGTTTCAGCACCCGAAATACTGTGCGGCGAACCCTACGGTCATGCAGTGGACTGGTGGGCCTTGGGCGTCATTGCCTGTCAGATGCTAACGCAGAAGGTAAGCGAGCAATTGTCGGTGCACAGTAACCAGTAAACAGTAAACAGTAATTCCCATTGACTGAATGCGAGAATGTGAGCATGTCTGTGGGTAATCTAATTTGTTGTCTGCTGCGGATAGATCTGGCATATGTATTTAGATTCCAACTGCGACGGAGAGCAGTAGAACTGGTTTGCAGGTGCATGCGATGCGGCGGCGTTGCATCTATGGCGAATACTTGATACTCTGTAGATCGCGGAGGTCTGTAATTCGACCACGGATGCTTGCCGCTTGCTGTTAGCCAATGCCAGAGAGTAGACGTAGACAGACTGGCCAAGGCGAGGCTGTTGGGCTGTGGGCTGTGGGCATTGGCATTGGAAGTGTGTGTACAATAATTCTGTAATTGAACAAGCCCGCCTTCCCAGAGCTTTCTTATGGAAGTAGCACTTAGATATGTAGATCTCAGCCAATTGCTGCTTATAATAGATCATTTCATAGTTCAGAGGCTGGAGACGAGACCATCATTATACAACTCGACCCCAAAGCAAGCCCCAAGGTTTTGCAACATCATTCCAAGGATAAATAAATATTCTATTTTTTTTTTTAATTTTTTCGCTTTTTATTTAAGAATTTTCTCAGTCTATATAAAATCATATATATTTCTGCTCATATATACGTTATACCACTATCGTATTAAATGTAGTTTCATTAATTTAAAACACAATTTAAAAAAAAAAAAAAGTGAATTTCATTTATAATATTATTAATATTATTACCATACATCGATGCCTGTTGCTGCTTGCAACTGCTGACACATCGTACACAGTGGGGGGGGGGAACGGAACCTACTGGTAGAGAAAGATACAGATAGTTTTCGGGATACGGAGATGCGTTTTTGGGGGCGTAAGTGTGCGTGTGGGTGTAGGTGTAGGTGTGGGTGTGGGTGTGTTGTTCGTCTTGCAATGACTAAAATTTAATTAAAATTACATTAATTAAATTTAATTTATAAGTATAACTTTATGCCATCTTAGCGGTTTGTCCTGTTTTTTTTTTGTTTTGTTTTGTTTTTTTTTTTGTTTGTTTATTTTTTATTGCTATTTTGTATGTTCCATTCCATGCATTCCTTGCCTTGCCTTGCACTTCATTCCATTCTATTGTGTGCGGATTCCAATGTTCCGATCTTCACTTTGATGCCTGGGTAGGGGGAGGGGGGGATGGGATGTTTAATGTTTTATGTTTAATCCCATAAGTCTGCTATGGATTATGGATCTTCATATTTATGGTTTTGTTGTGTGTGTGTGTGTGTGTGTGTTCTGCTTTTACTTTTGCTCCTCCACTTCACTCCACTCCACTCTATTCCACTCTATTCCACTCTCGACTTTAGCTCGTTTACAACTAAGAACTACCACTAACTACGATCGTAATATTAAGGCGCTGGCTGACGTGACGTGACGTAACGTAACGTAACGTTGCGTAACGTAACGTTGCGTAGCAGTGGTGCTCGGGGATTGGGTCTAGGGGTGTACTGGGGGAAATGGTTAGGGGAAGGTGTAGATTACCGTTGGGTACGCTGCTGCGGTTTAAAGGTTTAAGGGTGTAAAGCTCTCTCTCTCTTTCTCTCTCTCTGTCTCTCTCTCACTCTCTCTTGCTCCCTCACTTGCTCTCTCTCTATGTCTCTAGTTTGAAACATTCTCCTTGGATTCGCTGCTCTCATCGGACTCCTTGGACTCGGAAGACTCCTCGTTCTTCGACTCGGACTTCTCCTCCGACGACTTCTTTGGCTCGGCGACAGGAGCCAGAGGGGCCAGAGGGGCCGATGGAGCTGCAGCAGCAGCGGCAATGGGCTGAGCTTCATCAATCTTCTTGGCATCAGCAACTGCAGCAGCTACCTCTGGCACTTTGTCTGCGTTCTGCTCCTTGGGCAAGGTCTTGGCAACGGTATCGGCAATGGCAACGGCTCCAGTCGACTGCTCCTGCTCCTGCTCCTTGGCGGGCTCGGCAGCCACCTCGGCAATGGTCTTCACCACTTCGTCAGACTTGGCCTGCTGCTGCTGGGGCTCGGCTGACTTGGCCTGGGCAGCCAGTGCGGCCGGAGCGGCGGCGGGCGTGATGGTACCTGGGGCCACTCCGCCCTCAATCGATTTCTTCTCTGGCTGAGTAGCGGTGGGAGTAATCACCTGGATGTTGGTCTCCGATTTGGTGGCAGCCTCTGCTGGAGCGACGGTCGGCAGAGCAGGTGCAGCAGGGGCTTCAGGGGCCAGGGATGCTTCTGGTGCAGCTGCAGCAGCAGCGGCAGCAGCCTTCTCGTCCTTTTGCTCGACTTCGCTGATTCGCTCTTGGCGTGCGGGCTGCTTCTCGGCGGTCACTTCCTTCTCAGCATTCTCAGCATCGTCGATGGCTGCAGGTGCTGCCGCAATGGCCGCTGGCACTTCGGCGAACTTGGCATCGATCTGGGGCTCCTGGGACTTGACCTCATCGACAATCTGCTTCTGTACCTCGGCGTTGGCGACTGGGGCTGGGGCCTCCACCAATGGAATGGCCTTGGGGGCCTCGATCGGCTCCTCCTCGGTGCGGGCGGCCTTCTCCTGTTTCTTCTCCGCCTCCAGCGAAGTGTCAATGGGCTGGGGCTGGGGCTGGGCCGGGATCGGGGTCTGGGGCTTGGACTCCTCAGCTGGAATTGGCAGCTTCTTCTCAACCGACTTGACCTCCTCGGCATTGACCTTCTCGGGTATGGGTATGGCCGGAACGGTTTCCACATCGGCTGCACTCAACTTGAGCTCTGTCTTGGCTGGCTCGGCATCTGCGGCTGCGGCTGCGGCTGGAGTGCTCGACGAGGTCTCAAGAGCGGCAATGGGTGCGGCAGCTGGAGCGACAGTTTTGGCATCGATTTTGGGCTCCAGCGACTTCACCGGCTCGGGCTTGAAGGGTGCTGGCTCAATGGGATTGGTCTGCACGGTCTTGCCGAGCAGCTCGGCCTTGGAGCCGGCATCCGGCTGTATGGCCACCTCCTCATCGGGCACAGGCAGCGCCCAGACAGTGACCAGGCACACAGTGGCCACGAACAGCAGTTGGCACTTCATTCTGGACGAACAAACAAGAGGGAGAGAGGGGGAGAGGGAGAGAATGGCAATGTTAGTATAATAATTGTAGCATTCAGAAATTGCCAAATGAATGACACGGGAAAAGGTCAAATATCTTAGAGTAGAGAGCCTCCTAAGCGGGCGGGGTGGGGCGTGGCGGGGCGGGGCGGTGCAGGGCAGCCTGCCTGCCTGCAAACTGAACTTAAATGGTCGCGGCGGCAATTGAAAATACACTCGTATTATTACATCAGTTGATTGCTGGCTGCCCTGCCCCAGCCTGACGCTGCACAATGGTCGCTCGCCCCCATCCCCCCCCCTTTAGCTGGACTTTCTATTCCGTTTGCCAGCCACTCATTCATCGTCCGTGGGGTGCCTTCATCCGTTTCGTCTTGCGCCCCATTCCATTCTTTTGAGTTTTGTTAAAATGTTCTTTTGTAATTCGATTAAATCAAATTTTGTACCGCCGCTCCCGGACAACTGGCGGAAAATTACAATTGAATTGATGGCGGGACTTGTGCACACAGTTCGTGGACCTTATGCCCGATGGCGCCACATGGATGAGGCGAGAAAGAGAGTTGGGCAGCTGCCCCTGTCCCCGTCCCCGTCCCTGTCATTGCCCCGCCTTCTGCATTCCATTTCTAATCCCATCGTTAATTATGGATCTTCTGATTGGCCCACATTTGCATGGATTAACGATCTTAAGACTGAAGACACAGGGCTTTCGGTATTCAAATGCGATACATTTGAATTATTCGAATTATAATTCGAACTGTGGCTGTGGGGCTGACTTGCAAATTCATGAAGCTGCCTGGCCGTTGGCTCATCTGCTCTGCTCATTTCCTTATGCTAATTATATTTTGGTGACTTCTTTTTTTTTTTGGATTCGATTGGATTGGTTTGGATAAGCAATAAAATCAGAGACACGAATTAATGAAAATCTAAAACTAACGGCTCTTCCTAGACCCCAGACCCCAGACCCCAAACTGAGCCTCAGACACGACCCAAATCGTTCGTGATTGGTTCTTAAAACTCAGCTTGAGCATTCCTGAAGATTGTTTTTGGTGGGCTCAAAGATTAAATTAAATCAGATCAGATTGCCTGGGCCTGCATTAGTGTGTGTGTGTTTGGAGGGAGAGTTCAGTGGGCCTAGATTTTGCCTGTGTGTCTCTGTGGTCTCTGTGTGGTGCCTGTCTGCATTTGTATTATGTAATAGGAACCGTGAACGAACGCCGGGCCATTAAATGTATCTCACAGCATACAGCATACAGTTATGCAGCGATACGATCTTTGTAATTTACGAGTATGAGCAGCCTGTCAGCTGAAACTGCATTTAAGTCTAAAGCCAAGTCTAACAACCAAGAAAATCAACCAAACTTGTTTCGCAAAAAAAAAAAAAAAGAAACAGAAAAACGTTGGCCACAGCCAGCAAGAAAGGGAGGGTATTGGGGGGGCGCCCACAGCAGCAGCAGCAGCACAAACGGGTCCCCAAAGCCATTTAGATACATTTGTGTATCTTAAGGATACGCAGATGCAGATAAGGCACATTCAGGTGCAGCAGTCAGCAGTCGCAGCAGCAGTCAGCACAATATTTGAACACTTTTTTTCTTTTTGTTATTGAATTTCGATGCCCTTTCCTTTGCACTCACCTTTAGATTGGTTGAAGACTTTTTGTCGTTTTAAGGCGTTGAAGAGCGTCGTTTGTGGGGGTGGGTTCGGGCACTTGGTTCTGAGTATCGCACAGATACGTTTTTGTATCTTTATGAACAGCCAACAGCAAGTTCGTTTTGATAATATTTTTTAGTTGGTGGAACAATCTCGAGTTTCGGTTACGCGTCCTGGCTGCAACACACGCACAAAAAGTGTAAAAAAATATTTGAAAAAAAATTAGATTTGTTTTGTATTAATTTAGAGACTTTTGTTGTTTTAAGTTAAAAGTAGTAGACAGTAGCAAAGTAGTAGTAGACAGTAGTAAGTAGTAGTAGTAGTATCTGTGAGTAGGTAGATTCTTAATCCGCTGCGCTGCTGGCGCGTGTTCTCACCGGTCAGTTTCAAGAAACACTTTGAGTGGATGCCAGCCACACGGGCCGTTTATATACACCCGCCGCAGATCACGGACGTCTGACGCTGACGTCGACAGAGAGCAGAGGCAGGCAGGCAGCAGGCAGGCAGCGACCATAGACAGTGCGAGAGTTCAGTACTAGGCACGAACATCGGCACACAGACAACGAACCAACGACAACGGACACGAGGCAGAAGCAGCGGTAGGGCAGAGCCAGCGACAGCGACAGCGACAGAAAGAGATATACACACACATGCGTGCGTGTGCGTGTGCGTGCATGCGTGCGCATGTCGCGGGGCTTGGCAGGATCCTCTCCACCACTACTACTTCTCTTTTTGTAAGTCAATGTTCTAAGCCGCGCAGTACACAGTGGTGGAGTTCTTTCACCATAAATAGACAGCAAACTGTTTGGAGCGTTGTCTATTTTTAAAGTCTCAGCGATTTGTAAGACTTCCACAGAGACCGCAGAGAGCAGCCAGCAGGCAGCAGGGGCTAAGGCTGTATGTTGCTATTTATAAACCTAACTAACTAGCCAGGATCGCGGATCGCTGCTGATCGATTGCCATAAGCATCATTAAACGCAGCACGATTTTCAAATGGAGTTGAACGATGATAACATCAGCAATCAGCCAGGACCAAAGAAAAAAAAAAATGCTTAATTGAGGTTCATCACAGAGATGGCACAGTACAGTGGAGGGGAGGAGTGGTGAGGAGTGAAGTGGAGAGGTGTTCTTTGTACGGCAAACCGGTATGTACCATGGACATGAACATGGACATGGGCTACAAGGAATAAGTATAGACAAGGCAAGACCAAACTTGCATCTACTATTTCCACACAGGGCACAGAACTTTGCTGTGCCAGTGGACAGATCCAAGGTACGAGCAACGAGCTACGAGCTACAAGGCCTAAGTGCATCCATCGATCTACCCAGGGGAACATCATTAACATAATCAAAGCTTCGGCGGCCTCTCTTCTCTGCAGACATTTCTTTTCCTTTGGCTTTGACTTTGGCTCTGGTTGTGGACTCTTGCTGTGGCTGTGGCTTTGGCTCTTCTGACCAGTCGATTCCATTCCATTCCATTCGATCGGTTGCGTCGCGTCGCGTCGCCCCATCGGCCATCGTCGATGGGCCCCGTCGATTGTAAATATGTATATTGCCGATCGTTGATTATCTTAGAATGATAAATGCCTTTGGGCGGCCTTAAAAGGCTGCTGGACATGGGGCTGGGGTGATTCTATTTATAGACCTGCAGACTATCCATTAAAAGGATAGACGAGGTGGGGGCACGGGCGGGGGCAGCCATGAAAAAAATTTCCATTCCCATTAAAACATGCCATAGAACGGACGGACGGACGGACGGACGGATGGCCATTAAGCTGCGCCTCTGCCCAGCTCTGCCCAGAAGTTGTCGCTTGTCGAGAGTCTCTCTGCCACTCTCTCCCGCTTGCTTTTTGATCTCTTTTAAAATTAGGGGGCACCCACGAAGCTCCAGCGAAGATACACACACACAGCTACAGATGAAGATACAGATACGCATAGAGATACAGATACAGATACAGATAAAGGGAGAGCTGTATCGTCATCATGCAATCGTTTAACGGAATGTTCTGGGCGAGCTCTTTATTGAAACGTGCTTTGATTGGATTTTGAAATACTCTCTGAGATGCGTGAGATATGGTAATGGATATGGAATGGTCTGAGACTTAAGTCTGGGATAGTAACAGGCCAAGCAAAGCAAACCAAACCAACGAAAATTAAAGAAAAACCCAATTTAAATCCGTGCTGGCCGGCATCTGGTTTATTTGTATTATTTTATGGTACTTTTGCGTGTGAGTCTTTAAGGTTTTTATGAGCTGAGGATTATTATCGATGGGACGACTACGACTACCTGTTTCCAGGACCAGGACGATCCTTACCACCATTATGGCTATTAGCTACGCTACTGTTGTTGCGCTTGTGCAGGCAACTCGTAATTAAAATATTTGTAATTGCAAAGACCAATAAATAAACAGCAATAAATATGCAAATATGCGAGTAGATGAGTTGAATACCTAGAACAGAACCCGAAAACCTTTATGACTGAGACTGAGACTGCGACTGAGACTGAGACTGAGGCTGAAGGTCGACCGGCGCCAGCTGTGTGGCTCTGCCTTCTCTGCCTTCTCTGCCATCTCTGCCTTCATTCGTCACGAAAAATGAATCTCATAAATATTTGCGTTTTGGATAAATCATGCATAATTGCAATTATTAAGTTGCCCAATGATTTTCCATGGATAAAATGGCTTGCAATGGAGCAACAACAACAGCAGTGCCTAGATTTGTTCATGGAAAATGCATTCACGCGAAAAACAACGTACGAATAGATTCCAAAGTTGCTGCTACTCGGACGTACTCGTCTCGTACTCGTACTCGGTACAGTGATGCCTGCCCTGCTCTGCGCCCGAGCCGAACTTCTGTGATCAGTACGTGAAAAGGTATTCTTCTGCGAATGTCGGGAAAGGAAACTCTATACCTTCTAGGGGATCCATACTGGTATGGATCGCGCTAAAGAAAAAGGCGCATCCCTGAAAAGGTTGTAGCCAAAGTTAGAAGAATCCCCAACGCCGGGCATAACAATGAAACCAAGCCAAGAGGGGGCCATTAAACGACATAAAAATACATAAATATGTACATGTAAGAAAGCAAATAAAATCAGAAGGAACGAAGGCAACGTGTTACAGCCTCCAGTAGATGGTAGATGCAGTTGCAGTTGCGGCATGCCACAAGCCTAGAGGCAGCAGCAGAGAAATCAAATGCAACATTTTGGCATTGAACTTATCGATTGTGGAAAATGGCTCGGCATAGGCAAGACTTCAAGTCCCCAGCTCCAGCATCCTCAGCAGCCTCATCGTCTTGCAAGAGCAAGGGCAAAAACAAGAACAAGAGCACCAGCAACAGCAACAAGCATCAAGCATTAAAATCGGCTAGCACTTGCCTTAGTCTGTAGTCAAGTGGCCGGTTAATGGTCGCATTGGTCGGTCAGTCGATCGGTCGGTCGTCTGTCTGGGCATTTTCTTGCGACATTTTTATGCTTTCGACTTGCATAAATATTTGCAGCGGTGTGGCCAAAGAGGCCAAAGAGGATGTGTGGAAGATTTGCAGGCTGCCTGCCACAGCCACAGCCGCAGACAACACGCAGCGGCAGCGGCAGCAGCAGCAGCAGGCGGACAAAGCAATAAATTTTTGCAGTGCGACACGGCTTCGTTTACTTAGTGGACTCGGACTTGGACTGGGATTCTGATTCTGAGTTGGACTCAGTATTGGTGCGCGGATTGGACTGCAGCCAAGTCTGCAGACAAAGCTCTGATGGGGTAGGGCCATGGGGGGAGGGGGTACTGCTTGCTGGGTCTGCTGGGTCTGGTCTGCTGCTATCATGTAATATAAAATACAAAATTCGCATGCGTTGCAATCAACATTAACATTGTCATAGACTCAAGGGGAAGCAGCAGCAGCAGCAGCCGCAGCACTATCATCATTATCATTATCATCCTGTAATGTAATTACACAAGTCAACACACAACTGAATGTGATTTGAATGTGTATTAAGTAAAATATAGCTAAATAGCTAAATATTTAATTCCAAATTTAATTCGATTTGAAATTGGGGAAACTCAAAAAAGGCATTCGTTTTTTTTCTTTTTGGCGAATTTTGTCGCACAGTGTTAACAGCATTGCTGATTGCTACATGCCACAAGCAACATGCACACGCATACATAGCCACACACACACACACACAAACGCATACACATGATCACTTGTAGCACATGAGCGCAAGCGCAAGCGCACTCGCCGCTTAACTTTGCTGACCATGTAGCAGCCATGGGGCCCATGTATACATACATACATTGCTGTGGCTAGACCAGCAGTCCAGCGATCCACAAAGGCAACGTCGCCCGTCGCCCTTGTATCTTATGGATGCGTCGAATACATAACTCTTTGTTATTGGCCTTGAATGTCCTAAGCACGGAAAAGAGGTCATTGTCGCATAATACACCGCCTATGGCCCAGCCTATGCCACAGCCCAGCAAGCAGTCCAGCATGCAGTCCAGCAAGCAGTCCAGAACTGTTGGACAATGCCCAGAGCTCGAGCTCTCTCTCTATGCCTCTCTCTCTCTCTCTTTGCCTGCCCATGAAGCAGAGTGCAGCGAAATCTATGCAAACTTTTGCACATACATAAATACATGCAAGATACTCGTACTCGGACAAGACATGTATGTATGTTTGTTTGTGCATCGACTGTTGCGTTTGTTCCCTGCTTCCCTGCTTTTCTGTTTTAAAATTCTTAATTAATGTCAGCACGCATTTTAATGACTGTAATTGAAGTGTGCCCTTCCACTGCCTTGTCCATTGTCCATTGTCCATGCCTATGATCACGTATGCATCTCGAGCCTAACTAAGCCTGGCCTTGAGTTGGCTCGACTAGACGCTAGACGCTGCATGTATTTAATGCAGAATTTGTGCCTCAATCGGTTTCAATTGATGGATTGGTGTGCACAATAATTTCACCATCAAATAGATGCATTCAATATGGGTATTAAAACTGCTTCAATGGCTCATCCAGAGCTAAGCAGTTAATGGTGAACTGCTTAGCCCTGGAAGAGCCATTGAAGCAGTTTTAAAATGCAATGCAAATGCAATCCAATCAGCAAGGACAGACAGGTGGCAGACCATTTCCTGCAGAGATTCATCGTCCCATCTGCTGCTGCTGCTGCCTCTGCCTCATCAGCAGAATTTGCCAGAGACACAACAAATAATAAAAATAAAGAAATTAAAAAAAAAGCGTCGTAGCCATTTGAAATTTAATCTTTTGCAGAATGTTATTTTGTTTTTTTTTTTTTTTTTTTTTTTTTGTTTGTCATTTCTTGTCGACCTGTGATGCTGACCGATGGGCTGTTGATTGTGTTCGGCTGACTATGCAAGATACAATATACAAATAAACATATGTATGTATGTACAGCACAAGTACTAGAAGCGGCGCGCATCATAGATTAAGACAATTAACTCTGGACATTAATTCTAGGAAATATAAAAATAATTATCACTGCGAAAAAGTGTTGTTGTTCAGTTGTCTGCCGTTTCTATTTTACTCAAACCTGGTCGCTGGGGCAGTAATTAGCCAACCAGTAGCCAGCACGGGGGCCCCCAGTGGGAGGAGCGACAGCTCAAAGAAAATCTGACCCCCCATACATAACCCCCTGCGCATAACTGAGCCACGGCCAGACGATGCTGCAAATCTGAAAAAAAAAAACAAGAAAAATCTAAAATGTAAATCTAATTCCACAAATTCTGTGACAGTTGTGTGACAGTTGGATAACATTTTGGCGGTCAGTCCGGCGCTCGCTCACGTGCCGCCAATTACAATTAGCATGCGTCACAATTGTCAGGGGGAGAAGTGACAAATACCGACAAATACGGACAAATACGGACAAATACGAGTAGAGTAGAGTAGAGTAGTGTAGTGTAGAACCATACAATAGAAATCATCAGCATATCAGCAATACTGACTGATACATATGTGTGTACATATGTATGTATGTATGTATGTATGTACGAGCATATAGAAATTAATGGAGAATGAATGGCAAATGCGAACCAGAGCAGAATCATTGGAGCGCTCCTCTCATTTCACAACTTGTTTTTGAATCAACGAACCAGGAAGGTGGCATCCATCGTCAGTGCCAGTGCCAGTGCCAGTGTCGCTGCTGTCTCGCCCCCGCCACTCCTTGGATCCCCAACCACACACACACACACACACAGACACACACATGCCGCCTGATCGCCTTCCCTTGCCACTGATCATTACCTCGTCGCTCGTCTGCTTGTCTACTGTGATTTAATTTAATTTTTTCTAAGCACACAGAAACCTAAACTGTTTCACTTTGTCAACTTGTCAGCAGCAGCACAGAGCCACAGCAGCAGCCCAGCAGCAGCCACAGCAGCAGTCCAGAGCCACAGCAGCAGTCCAGAGCCACAGCATTGATTAAGCTTAATTTGTTGCTTCAAATGCAGGTCAAACCTTTCGAAATCTCTCGGCATTAGCCCAGTGGCTGCTGGCTGCTGACTGGTGGCTCCCACTTCACCCAAAAGATTTATTTCACAGTGCAGATGCAGATGCAGAGGCAGAGGCAGATGTAGGGTGGGTGGCCTGGCCTGGCCTGGCCTGGTGCACCTGTACTCATTCTCACCTTGACCATTGCAACTGCTTGGAATGACTCACTGGCAATCGGTTGACATTAATCAATCTCCACTCACATATTTGCCAGAGTGAAAGTACATACATAAATCGTACATACATATATGTACATATGATGATAATGGTTTGGGGGCAGTTTTGATTGCACTGTTCCGGCATTGTCAGGCTAATTCCATTAGATGGCATATAGGATATACACTGTACCCTGGATGGTTCATTCTGTTTAAGTTCAAGTGCGTGCAGTACCCCACCAACCCACCAGCCACATCCTCATCTTATTTTCAAGTGCAGCAGCAGCAGCAGCAGCAGCAATACTTAATTAGATGCTATTCAGTGTCAGTAAGTGACTGTTTTACATAACAATTGCGCTCAGTTACTCAAACTAAATGTGCTGAATTTTTGTGACTTTACATTCCATGGGGCATGGGCATGGGCATGGGCATGGGCATGGGCATGGGCATGTGGCAGCCAGAGCCAAGTACGAGCATATTCGGACACTGCGACTGCATGAGACGAGTATCGAAAGATGCAAAATGACAATGCTGCTCATTTTCTTATTTTACTGAAACATTTTGTGCCTGTGCGGAGGGGTGGGGCGACATGTTGTAATCGTTGAACGTGGTATGTTTGAGTGCGAGAGCAGAGCATGGTAGACATAATCCACAATGCCCAACAACGACATTTCACAAGCAGCAGCAGCAGCAGCGGCAGCAGCAACAACAGAGGTTTTCTATTTCTATTTTAAAAGTAGTCGACCGCTAATTGAATTCAATTTGCATGCATTAGTGCCCATCGAGCAGAGCACAGAGGAGAGCCGAAGCCACAGCTGAGTAGGTAAATCTCTGTCTCCTCTCAGCTCATCCCATCCATAATCATATAAACTTTGCCACTCTTACGAGGCTCATTGACCCTCCGACCCTGCCATCCGAAAGTTCTCCTGCTCACACTCCAGCCACAGTCCTGCCTTGGCTTGCCTTGGCTCCATCTCTGGCGTCGAATGAGGCACATTTAAGGGCATGCTTCGCTTCGGTGCTCCAATGCTGCCAGCTAATTATTTGCACAGCCATGAGCCATAATATCACATCGTTTGTCACTCATCTCATTTGATCTGACGCATTTTGATTTGCGTATTTTCGTATTTGCGTGTTCCAAATAAATGTCTCAGCTATCTCAGTTTGGCTAATGATTAGGGTAGGCCAGCTCGAAGTGAAGCTTCATGTGATGGCCATTGGGTTTAGGTTTAGATTTAGTGACTAATATTTGTGGTTTGCATCCATTCGAACTCAGCCCTCCCCCCTTCCCAATCAATAAGCATAACAGGTTGCAGATTCCTGCTTGCAGATTGCTGCTTGCAGATTGCACTGCTTGTGTGTGCAAAGTCCAGGTACAGGTACAGGTACAAGCAGCAGGCACAAGCAGCAGGCAGCAGGCACTAGGTACCGGGTACCGGGCACAGGGCCGGTTTAGTCTTTTTCTATTTATAGTTTCTGCAATTCTGTTAGCCATTTCATACCATTCTTGGGTTCTAAAATTGGAATCGCTAAGTGTTTGCTGTTTGCTTTTTTCTGTTTCTACTTTCTGCGCAGTGTCCCAACATCAAGCAGTATCTACTGCGCCAGCGCCGGCAGGAGAGTTTGGACGCCGACGCCGACACTGAAACGGCAGATGGCCTGTCCAATGCCCCATCCTTTGCGCAGATCAATGGCTGCCTGCAGGACAGGAGGAACAGCGACAGCAGCGGCGGCAGCAGCAGCAGCGACACCGAAGAGTTCCTGCCCGCCGCGGTACGCCAGCTGGGCCATGAGGGCCAGGATGTGCTGCGCAAGCTGCTCGCCATAGATCCGCGCCAGCGCATACGCAGTGTGATGGCACTGCAAAGGATCGCCATGTACAAGGGCTACAAACTCACCTCGAAGCAGCTGCTGAGCGTAAGTTTCTCGTTCAGGCAGATGGATGCCCCATTTTGCATGCCTCTCACTTGATTCTTTTGTTGTGCACAGCTCTCGCCCCTGGACATTATCGCCAGGGACGGCATTCGCGTCTACGAAGACAGCCAGTTTGATCCAGTGGCCAGCCAGTTGGCGATCAAAGCATTCCAGGACTTCTGAGATACGATTTATACGCGCTCCAGCTTCAGCTGCAGCTCCAGCCATATTTACAAAATTCGAAACACGAAACACGAAACCTGCAACCTGCAACACGATTCAAACAGCGGCAGGGATGGGAGTGCCCCCCCGATTATAACCTTAATCATGTTTAATAATTTTCTATAATTTTAAATAACTTTGTAGAATATTTGTTGGATGTGTTGTTGGCGGAGACTTTCCAAATTGTAGTATTTTTTTTTTATTGGAATAATTAGAACAAATTTTACAATTGACTAATTTCGAGTTTATTCATGCACCTGCCCCAAGAATATTCATGGCTGGAAAATTAAGCATTTAAAATGAATCACTAGCTCTGATTAAACAAATGATTAATTTCGTTTGATTAAACCACAAACTATGGGTAAGTTAAGGGCAGTTAAGGAAGAAGCTTCACTGGCACTTCACTTCGGGCTATTCGAAGGTTAAAGTATTGACAGATATCTGCGCTAATGGATTTTTTATTTTTATTAATTATTAACTTATTAATTTATTATTTATTAATTTATTATTTATTAATTTATTAATTATTATTATTTATTTACAATTAATGGAGCTGCAGATACGAGTACGAGCAATCGTAAATGCAAATTTAAGTGCCGGACATTTTGTAATTTTTCCATGTTGAAGTTGGAGTTTCGGTTTCTGTTTCCGTTTCCTTCTTCCCCATATACTGGTTAAAGTTTCACTTACTTTTTGGGGGTTGAAAGCTGCAATCAGCTGTTGGTCAAAGCTTTGCCACTCACACACTCTTTCTCTCTCTCTCTCTCTGTCTGTTGGCTCTCTTGGCGCAAGGTCGTCGGCAGGCAGCTGAGTAAAAACCGGGAGAGGGAGAAAGAGAATGAGACACACTGAATGAGTGAGTGAGTGCTGGAAATTGTTGCAGAGAGCCAGCAACAGCGGCAGCGCAGTTAAGAAAAAAAAATTAAACTTTAACAATAAATACACACACACTCTCGCACACTCACACACTCACACACACGCGTGCTTTGGGTACAGCGATACGTGAAAAACAACACACCAAAAAGTACGGAAATTTGTTTTTAAAATAAATATTTAAGCTCGTGTAAAAAGAAAAAGCAAAGAAAACGCAGGCAAACAGCGTGGAGCAGGAGGAGCGGGAGAGCGAGCGGAGGAGCAGAGGAGCAGCAGAGCAGCAGCGGAGCAGCGGAGCAGCGGAGGAGCGGAGGAGCTGTGTGGACATTCTACAGAGTGCAGCGCTCAGGCTCTCCAGTAGTACATATATGTATTGGGCCAGCATGTAGTATGTACACTCAGATGTATGTACACGGCAGTGTGTGTGTGTCCCAAGGAGCCAAAGACATTTTCTAAGCTGGGATAGCCTGGATTGATTTGAAGCCACCACAGGAGCGAGGATACAGGCGACATACCAACATGTCGCTTGTCCACACGTTTCTCGGCACCTGGGAGGTAAGGAAGCAGCCAGCCCCCCCACCAACTGACTTTCCTTTCACTGCCACCCATCTCTTTTTTTGTTCTTCTACTGACAGATTGTCTGCTGCACTTTCGAGGGCAAGCGCGAGCTATCCGGCCTGGAGGGGTAAAAAACTATTGTGTGACTTTTATGGTGTGGCCATTTGAATTATATATTTCCCCATTTTCCAGAATTAAATTTCGCCTGGACGATACCAGCGACATAACCTGGTATAACGATTTGGTCAGCCCGATTCCTGAGCAACAAGACTGCGGCCCTTTCTGCGACTCGGCGAGTGTTCTATTTAGCTGTGAGACCTTCGATGTGCACGAAACGAATCCCCGGCTCGTATTCGGAGCCTTTGCCGGGCACAGCATTGAGTTCAGCGTGAGTAAACGCCGCGCCGCCCCACCATTAATTGTACGTACTCATGCATGTGGCTACCATTTCCAGACCAACACCTTGACGCCGACTGACACGCTGGTGCTCAGCTGTGAGAATTGGTATGCCGTCGAGTGCAAGCGACTGCAGGATGGTCAGGCGGCGGGTCAGGAGAAGCAGCTCAGCTTTGGCGATGCCCTGCAGGAGTCCTACTTCAGCGATGTGATGGTGAAGAGTGCCAGCGGCCTGGAATATGCCCTGCATGCCTCCATACTGCGGCTCAACGGCTTCGATTGCAGCATGTGCGTGAACAGTGCGCCAGTGGCGCGACAGGCCGTCAAAAGTGCAGCAGCGGCGCCCTGTCACAGCGGGCCGAATACGCCCAATCCCATACGAATTTCCGTGGCACCCGCCGGCGACGATGAGCACCAAAAGTCATTGCCGCGCTTGAATCTGTCGCCGATTTACCTGCAGCCCCCCTGTGATTTTCAGACGCTGGCGGGTCTGGGCGCGCAGCGAGTGCATCAGTTCAGCAGCAGCTTCAATTGCCTCAGCAATGGCAACGACTCAGAGCCGGCGCTCAGCACGGGCATGGGCATGGGCACGGGTCTGCTCAGCGTTGAGTGCGGTGGCATGTGGCATCGATTTCCGCCCACCTCCCATTCCGATTCGCACCTGGAAACGACGCAGTCCCACTGCAAGAACATATTCAACTTCTGTCAGGATTTGATCGTACAGCCAACGCCCTCGCCGGTGCTGCCAGCTGGCGGACTGAGCGCCGGCCTCGCCGTCTGCAGCATCAGGCGACCGCCGCTGTCGCCATACCGGGCACGCAGCCCCTCGCCATTCCCCAGCTCGATGGATACGCCGCCATCGTCCCCACTGACGCCGGTGGGTGTGCTGTGCAACCTGCCCACATTCCTGCTGAGCCCCATCCTGCACTGGCTGTACACCGAGTCCATGCTGCCGGACCTCGAGGAGGATGTCTGCGAGAAGCTGATCAACTTTGCCGAGTCGCAGCCATCGCTGACCAAGCTGGTGGAGCCAACGCGCAAGTACCTGAGGCTAATGAAACTAAAAAAATGTAAGTACAAATAAATATTGAAACGCTGATCGATGATCGATGATCGCTGATCCCTTGTATTGGTCAATTTCATTGCAGTTGTTGTCAATGTGACTATGAATCTGCATGGCATACTCAATCGCGTTATACAGTGCATCAATCCGGTGAGCATTTCGCACGAGCCTGCGCAGCTGTGTGGCACGTTTCAGGATGCGTTGCGTGAGTGTGCCATAGGTAAGTGACAACTGCCACATATCGCTCACTGATCACTGATCATTGCTCACTGATCACTTCTCACTGATCATTGCTCACTGATCACTGCTCACTGATCACTGCTCACTTCTCACTGATCATTGCTCACTGATCACTTCTCACTGATCATTGCTCACTGATCACTGCTCACTTCTCACTGATCATTGCTTGCTCACTGATCACTTCTCACTGATCATTGCTCACTGATCACTGCTTACTTCTCACTGATCACTGATCATTGCTCACTGATCACTGCTCACTTCTCACTGATCACTGATCATTGCTCACTGATCACTGCTCACTTCTCACTGATCATTGCTCACTGATCACTTCTCACTGATCATTGCTCACTGATCACTGCTCACTTCTCACTGATCACTGATCATTGCTCACTGATCACTGCTCATTTTCGTTTGGTGTTCGTTCTGGCAGGTTGTGCAAAGGTTCTGCAATTCTGTAATATATTCATCACCGATGCCACACACACGCACATGACGCGCTACCAGAAGAACGAAATTGTCAAATATATACGCACTCGGATACCCATATTCATGTCGCAGATACAGCAGCTGCTGCGCAATGTGCTCGGCGTCTTTGTGGGGCTAACTGTCGAGGAGAAGGCCCAGCTGGTCAACTATTTAGTACCTGAAGTGAGTACACAACAAATTCATATTGTTATCAGGGGGGACGTACTAACTGTTCATGCCAAACACACACACACACACAGATTGAATCAACATTATTTGTATTAACTGCTGTGATAGAGGAAATCAAAAACTCGTTGGAAATCATGTGCAAGGTACGTAAAGCTTCTCCTCCACCTGATTGATTGTGAGTTTAATGGCTCCTTTTAGGATCTTAAGTGCTCCCATTTGGAACTGCCACAGCAACAGCAGCAGGCAGACGATGCCATTGTCATGCAATTGCATTATGTTGAGTCGGCGGTCGGCGGCGGTGGTGGTGGTGGTGGTGGTGGTGAGCCTTCGCCACGGCCACGTCGCGGTGCTCCGGTGGGCCTGACGCTCTACGACAATCACCAGGACAAGAAACGCCTCAGCTCAGCCGAGAATGATCTGAAATTTGTGCTCTACATGTACGAAGTGCGCAAAATGCGTGACATTTATGGACGAATTGTGGCTGCCCTCGACATAATTAATGACAAAAAGTAACTACGAAATTAACTAAATATTATTGGATTTATCTGCCATTTGTTCTACTCATTTGTAGAACGACATTCTGCGAAATGGATTTCCTAAGCAAGATTAGCACAATTAATCAAAATTTGGAGCAGCTAATTGTGGAGATTCCCGCATATATATTTATTGTCGAGAACTTGTCCGATCGCCTCGACGACAAACTGGGCTGGAAGGAGTTCAAGTTTTGCTTCAAGCTGGCCACCAGTCAAATTGTGAGTAAATCAGCTGCAAGGGATGTGGATAATTATTATTATTTGCTGTTTATATTTGCCCATATAGAATGGCGTTATAGCTAAGCTTTTGGATCACAAGAGCGCCCTGCGAGACGCCATCAGTCAGATTTGTAGGCTGGTGCACAAACAGGAATTCACACAGTCGCTCATCGAGCTGGGACTGCTGGACAGTGGCGCCGCCAGTGGGGCCAAGCCAAGCGATTTGAAAACGGCCGATCATGAAAATAACCTAAATGTGGGCTTGAGCGATGGCGAACAGCTGCTGCTCAATCACCAGCATTATTATGACTACAAAAGCATCAAGGTTTGTTCTTGCACTTCAAGCCAGAGCTGGGCCAGTTTTATATTAAATCTCTGTCCATTGTTTACCGCCAGTTGAATCTCATTCGACACCTTTGCGAGCCACCAACTGCGGCCAATAGCAATCTATCGAAAAATGCACTCCGCCTGCTGCACTCCACACAGCTGGCGGACATGGAGTTCGAGGTGCATACGCATGCATCAACCGCAAATGCCGTGGACACAGAGGCCACAACGACAGCAACATCAACATCAACAGCAACATCAACATCCATATCCATCGGTGGAGAAGCTTCGTCATCGGCTTTGCAGGTGCACAGCTTCAAGGCACATCGCGTGATTGTCGCTGCGCGTTGCGAGTGGTTCAAGAAGGCTCTGATGTCCGGCATGCAGGAGTCCATCAACAGAAGGGTCATCATCACGGACACCTCGCCGGTGATATTTCGTCGATTGTTGCTTTACCTGTATGGCGCGCCCATTGATCGTACGGTGGGTGCCGAGCAGATCTGCGAACTGATGCTGTTGGCAGATCGTTATTCAGTTGATGATCTGAAAGTGAGTGCCAGTCACCTGTACATCTCCCTCTGTACATCTAAATTCTCCATTGCCTTAACTGCTTTAGGAACTGTGCGAAAACACTTTGTACGCTCTGATTGACGAGGATTCGGTCGTCTGTTTGCTGGGCATTGCGGACAGATATATGGCCACTGCTCTGAAATCGAAATGCCTCTCATTCCTATCGCAGCACTCGCAGCTCACCAAGTGCGAAATATTTAAGGAATTGCCGCAAACCCTACAGGTGAGAGAGCCTTCACTGACGATCCAATTTATTCACCTATTTATTCGCCTTTTTTAGCTAGAGGTTATGGATTTAATACATTGGTTCGGCCGTGTTTCGGAGCCTTGGAACGATCGTGGATTCAAGCCGCGCAGCAGTTCTCGGCATAGCCTTAAGAGTCCCTCAAAGCCACGTTCGCGCTCCCGCAAGTCATCGCCATCCTATATGTGACGCCGGCAAAGCGCCACTGAACACACGACGTATGCCAACTTCTTGTGATAATATTCTAGAAGACTTCGGAAACGAATGGTAGTCCGGCATAATGGCAGTCTGTAAGGGTGACACACGGATGGTAGCACGATTGACAGGGGAACGGGTAAGGAGTTGGGGTTGGTAAGGGCTGTGGCTCAGTCAGATGCCAAAATACCCAAAAAAACAAAACAAAACAAAACAAAACAAAAATGAAATATTTTTGGGGGGTTAACAAGGCTAATACTCGTATGTATGTAAGTACTAGGACTCTCCACTTTGACTCTGGTCTCAGTAGCATAAAAATCAAGCCAACAAAATTCAAAAGGAATGGCAACAAAAATTACCTGATTTTAAGACAAAATTTTATTTAGTTCACTAAATATGTATGTAGATAGAAATAATATTGAACATTCGTGTTACTTATGAATCATGAATACATATGTATGTATGTATTTATGTATGTACTTTTGAGCAAAATACAAAGTACATATATGTATTTAAAAAAAATGAATGCATATGAATGAATTTTCTCTCTCTAATTAAATTGATGTACGATGTCTGTACGATGTATGTGCAACAACATAATTTTTATAAATGCAAATTGATCTTTGCGCAAATAGATATTGTATTGTATTGTCGTGCATTGTATTTGTGTATATGTTTATGTATGTCTTCGACTATAAAACACTAACTACATACATGCATAGTACTTACATATTTTATTCGCATTCGCTGGGACCATCACGCTCATGTTTTTCGCTATGAGGTTCCCGAATGTGTTTGTATTTTTGACATTTACATTGTAGAGCTATTATACTATATACTATACTATATATATATGGATGTGTATGTATGTTTGTATTCAAGTTAGAATTATTATATATATAGTAAAACTTATGAAATTTGTATAACATTAACATTAACATTAATAATGGTATTTACATATTTATGTTACCAAACAAAAAAACAAAAAAAAACACCGAAAATTTGTACGACTCGAAGAGCCCCAAAAAAAAAAAATGTGTAGAACTACTCGATGGGGGATGATGGCACTGAAGCTTGGACTTCTTCTGCATCTGCATCCTGCCTCCTGCATCTGTGTATTGACGACTGCTTTTGATTTATTTTGATTCGGGGGGACGACGACCCCCTCTTTCGATATGTGCTAATGCCTAATACTTGTAGTCTGATTGGTAGATAGAGAAACTTGTAGTTCGGATACTGAAATTACTGTACAATGCAGCTACAGCTACATTTAGGTAGACTTGTGCAGTGATCTAAACTGAGATCTGAGAACTAAACTTATTGCTAAACTTTTACATGACAGCATGTGCTAGATCTGTACATAGGCTGATACATACATAAATGGGGGGTCCGTTCATGGGTCACGTGTTTTGGGGTATTCAAAGGGGTATTCACTCATTACATCAGAAAACGAATGTAATAGTATTTGGACAAAGCACATGTACTTTTTATACATACATACTACATACATATGCCTACATATTGAACAGATCATTTTCAACAAGATACATACATATGTACATACTTTGTGTATTTGATCTCCTGAATGTAACCTACAAAAGTGTACTATAGATGTAATGACTTCAGCACGTGTACAAACATTATGTTTATAATTGATTACTATGTATAGGTATTTAATACATTTCTTGTTGTATTTTTAAAAACAGAACACAAAACAAAGGTCTTATTAATTCTGAAAATAAAATAATTTAAAATCCGTGTGTACATCATTTGTATACCTACTACATACATATATAACAAACATATGTACATACATATGTATGTATGTATATTCGGGTACCGGACTTATCAGTGAGTATCTATAATTATTTTTCGCTTAGATCTGGTTCAGCCGCCATCTGTATGTATGAGCTTTTTTTTTTTTGTGTTGTATTGTTGTTGTTTGTATCCCAAACCAAATAAAAGTCTCATCCAGAGATAGCGAAATAGCGGAGAGCGTAACACAGAGCGAGATGGAGAGGGAAAGAGAGCAGTGTGGAAATTTTTGAATTTAGCGCTCTGTCGGCGCCTAAGGTAGAGATGAACGACGATATATCCCTACAGTCCTATACGAGTATATACCGTTAACACCAGTGACGGGCAAAATATCGCCCACAATGGCTGGTAGTTGGGGGGGCAGTCCCATTGGAAGAGGGATGTTTGTATTTGTGGCTCCTGCAAGGTATATTCATACATTATATGTGCGATATAATGATTTAATTATTTAATAATTATTCGAAGAAGAGTACAAAAAACCGCAAATTAAGAGAGTATGTACATGCACACATACACATGTATTTGCGTTTATTTATAAGCGTGTCCGTTATAATAGATTCCATAAAATATTACACACATCCCATCCACTTTTATGTATAATCCTTGCTTTGCTGCTCATTTGCTCGTGACTTTTCGTACCCCCTTCCAGTTCCCGTTCCCGTTCCCATCATCCAACCGATTTCGTTCGTTATTTTGCCAATGACTTCCAGCGGGCTGTGGGGGGAACTTTTTGCAGCGAGCGCTGCCATAGCAGCTTTTCCCACACAAGTGCCGAGATACCAAAAACCGAAAACCGAGCGCTTTTCTCTCATTCGGTTTAGGCTCTCTTTCTCTCTTTGAGTTCGTTTTTCTCTGTGGGCTGGCTGGCTGGCTGCGCGCTGCATTTGACCGCGACTCAGTAGCAAAGGAAAATCCATTTTCCATTTTTCTAGACGCGGACACAGGCTCTGAGTATCGTGTGCGGCGGACGTCCTTGTCCTGCGTGCGTCGTTTGCTTGCGCTGACGGTTTTTTGGTGAGCATAATCAAAAATGGGGAAAACTGAGAAAACCAGGAAGAAAATTAACAAAAAAACTATCCGCTGTCGTAACTGGAACTCTGAAAACTGTTTGCCAATACGCCTCGCAAATTCACCTCAAATCGAAAACTAATAAAATAGAAAACTAATCAAATAAAAGCTGTCTACAAAGTGCATTTCGGATTTGTCGTTTTTTTTTAACAGTGTGATACAAATTTTTTTTCTCAACCTTTTTTTTCAACATTTTTGTGCGTGTTAAGGTTAAGTGCAACAAAAAAAAAAAACAAAAAAACAAAAAAGAAAAGAATACGTGGAAAATGAATCGTCTTCGAGTCTTCAAATAAAGACAAAAAGGCCATCCACAAAAAAGCAAAACCAAAAGCAAAAAGGGAGAAGCAGAAGCAGCAGCGCCAGCAGCGCAATAAGGCAGAAAAAATACTTTGCCTGTGTGCAAAAGTGAGTCTGTTCTGTTCCCGTTATGTTCTGTTCTGTTCCGTTCCGTTCTGTTAGTTTGTGTGTGTTAGCATTGACAGTGAAAATTGTTGTTGTGAGTTTTTGCGCTGGCAGCCAGCCCCTTATTACAGTTATGCCTCCGCTCCACGTCTTTCTTTTGAGTGGAGGAGGAGGATGTGTGTCTGGTCTGGCCTGGTCTGGGAACTCTTACGTATACATATGCACGCACTCGTATACATACATACATGTATGCATATCTGACAGCATGTATGTATGTATGTATGCATGTTTATTTGAATGTGTTGATGTTGATGTGCGTTCGTGCTTTAAAAATCGTTTTAGTTGGTTTTTTTTTTTTTGCTAAACAATTGTTTTGCTTGACCCAGGAAATACTCGTATGTATGTATATGCACACAACTAAACAATATGGTATGTACAGTGTATGTAAAGTTCCGGGAGAAGTTGCGAGCCAGCTGGTTCATGGATGTACATACATATGTAGATAAATATTTAATAACCAGTGCATCTACATACATACGTATGTATGTAACTAAATGAATATAACAGACGACGCATTGTGTTATTTATTTGTATACATTCCAATTGGGAATAGTCAAACTTGCATACATACAAACGTAGCAACAAAACTGAATACAAGTGAGTGAAAGGACAGTGTGCAGGAGGTATGTAAGCAGCAATGATTGCATCAAAAACGGCTTCAACGACAGCGCTTCTTGCTGGGACATGACCAACAACCAACACCAACACCACCACCACCACCCGCCTCAGTTACCGGCACAGCTATATGTAGCTGTGAAGCAGCTACAGAGGTCCCTCCATAAAAAGTAAATGTATGTAGATGTGCTCAAAAATTGTTTTTGCGCATTTTGGGATGGCTGTGGGAGGCGGCGGAGACAACTTCACTTCTCTACTTTCTGCCCTGAGCAAATGTTGTTCTTGGTGCGTGCCGCTGATATTTTTGTTGTTGTTCTTGTGCGTTTACTCAAAGCCCGACGCACACACACACACACACACACAGACAAAATCATCATCAATTACTTAGTACCCCCTCCCACCCCTTCTCCCACGCAGAAAAAAAAGGAGAAAAACCACGTAGTATGCTATCTGCTGCGCCTATCAAAGCGCTCTCTTTTCGCTCACTCACTCACACACACACACACACAAACACACACATATGCGTACATTTAGAAACACACACACAAACAAATACGCCTAGGAACACTTTTCGCTGTTCTGCTGTTGGGACTGATACTGTACCATTTTAGTTTATTAGCTTGTACATATGTACATATGTATGTACATAGCTATGTACAGATCTGTATGTACTGATGTACATTCATTTGCATTCAGCTATGAAAACTTGGTGGTTAATCTCTGATCTCTGGTAGCTCCATCTCTGGTTTGTCGCTTGGTCAGGCAGCTAACGCAGAATACGAGACACTGCGATCATCATGTTTTGGATGTTTTTATGCCCGTACTCGAAGAGATAAGGAGATATTAGATTTGTGGTAAAAGTGGATGTGTGTATCGCACAGAAGGAAACGTATCCGCACCAATAGCCGAGTCGATATAGCCATTTACTTCCGTCTTGCTTGTCGCCTAGTTCTCCAGCTAGAGCAACCAAATCTTGTATCCAGATTTCATTGATAAAAAGATAAAATATTTAAAAATTCCACATAAATCTTAAGCTTTCATATGTATGTGCACATATACTGACTGAGTACCGGTATAAAAGTAGAGTGGCGGCCACTGAAGCGACTCACAACGTTCCGTCTCGTTTGCATTTCAAATGTACATATAAATCAACATATGTTCTGATGAATGATCTGATCTGATCGTATATGTATATCATATTGATAAGTGTACAAGGTATGAATTTGCGCACATTTATTGAATCCATTCATAGTTCCGATTCTAAAATTAGTCATGTCATTCATAAAAATGCGATTACTCTTGCGATTTTTTTTAATTTTAATTTTTCTTATGTATATTGCTTGGTATTTCCCATAAACAAAAACAGTGCTACCGCTCTTCAAATTTCTGTCTATATATATTTTTTTGGGATTTAAAAAAAAAGACCCCAAAAATAGCGAAAAAAAAATAGCACCATTAGCCCTTCATTTGGTGAATCCCATGTATTTCGCGGAATTGCCTTTGCAGAATGCACGTGCTCATTAGTTTTGACTAAGAACTCATTGTTTCTATCATAAAAGCTAAAAATATTAATTACAATGTATGTATGTATCATGCAATTTAAAGTGGGGGATCCTTTTGTGTTTTTTTTTGTGATTCACAGTGGTTAAGCTAACGATACACACCTTTATATAAAAAATTTTAAATTTAGATTAAAAGCATATTAAATATGAATGCATATGCACATACATACATATGTACATACATATATAATCCAGACTTTCGGGACTGCCGTGAAGCATTGCTGTGTGTATTTTTAATGCGTCTATAAATATATGTACATATGTGTGTACGTATATATGTATATTGAACGAATTGTACATCATCTCCCAATGATTAGCTTTTATAAACTTTTAAATGGCATTTATCAGCTTGTGGGCACATTTTTTTTTTAACAAATACTTTTATTTGACGTAAATAAACGAGATTAACATTCAGCACATTGGTTCCTTTCAGTTAGAATTTGATAAAAATACATACATACATATGTATATGTGCATCCAGCTTGCATCAAGTTAAAGATGTGCTTTAGAGGCTAAAGGATGGCTAGAAGAAATATAGGTTTACGGCTATAGGTTTACAATTTACATATTGATGGGCGCTCCTGTCTCTCTTGTAGCGTACCCCAAAGCTTATGTAAATCTGTACATACATATGTACATATGTAAATCTGTACTTACATATAGTATCTGGAAAGTCGAAAATCAATCCATAATGTGGTACTGAAACCCAGTCGCAAGAAGGTTCTTTTCGAGATGTGTGTGATCAGTGAACAGTTTTGATGTGATTAAAAAACCATGCAAATTGTTGACAATATTGATGTTTAAATAGGTAGCCAGGACAGTCATCGACTTCTATAATAGTTACAATTAATGGTGGAATTTGCATATACATACATATGTACATATGCATGCAATTATTAATTAAATAATTAAACGTTAAAGCATCGGCTAGACTAGTCTTTGTTTGTCCCTATCTAGCAATGGATTAAATTCTTAATGCTTTGATTGCAATTGTATTATTTTTGATGCACACTTAGTGTCAGTGATCAAAGAGCCATTATGAATTAAATTCATGTGCATGCATACATATGTATGTACATACGCCTATGACAGACAGCGTAGAGTCGCCTTGTGCAATTACTTCCGTCTAACCTTTACCCCCACTCCCATTCATATCACCATCCATCCAATCCCCCCACATCCTCCACTTCCACCCACACCCCCCCCCCATCTTTATCCAAACACAACCCTACTATTCGCATCGACATCCACATCCACATCGCGGTGTGTTGGCTTGTTTATCTTTGTTTCCTTTGTATGCACACGAAATGTTTTTATTCAGCTTTATAAATGTACATATGTGCGTGTACATACATACATATACATATATATTTGTGTGTGTGTGTGTGAGTATGGCCATAAGTTGTAGGGTTCTCCTCTCTTGGTATAAAATTGGCCTGGCCGGCTGGCTGGCTCGCTGGCTGGTTGTTCTTTGTACTTATTTATTTATTTGTATACCCTTGCAGGCAGTGGGCAGTGGGCAGGGGCCTTAATAGCTCGCTCGCAGAACAAAAAACCAAAAGCACCAAAAGAATTTTGAAAGTATTTTTCAAAAGGGGGAATTTGTGCAAACATTTTAATTTTAAAGGAAAGACCAGAAGAATTACATATCCTTTATGCATATCCAGAACATCTACATGCGTGCGTATGTATGTACGTAATTATTTACATGCGTACATATTTTTCTATGAAGCTCTTTAATTTTTTTAACTACTTATAGTACCTTTTCTGCACTAGGAACCAATTTTGTAACCCACACATTAATTCATATTCGGATTCTTTTTGGTCTTTTTTTTATTAAATAATCATTAACCATTCTACAAAATTTCAAATTTCATTTACTGCCTGAGCCGTCAGAGGGTATCCTCCAGTCGAGACATTTATTTTTTATTCCCAATAAACATGGACGTTTGGAAAAAAGAAATAATGTGAATATAGGTTGTCTGAGAGTGTGTACTGCATATACATATGTACGTACATGTATGTATGTGTGTACGTAATAGCATTTACGGCGTAATTACTCACCCACCGCCTGAAACGAGTCGGCCGGCCAAACGAATTTGCATACATAAGCACAGATGTACATATGTACAGTATTTGTGTACATATGTACATATGTACATATATTTTATGTTGTGCTAAAGTTAGTGCTTTTTTTATACCATCTTGAAAAGAGTTCTTAAAGATAAACCAGCATAATATTCTGATATCAGTAGTCAGTAGAGGGATATGGGATATAGTACCCCAGGATGAAATTATACCTGTATA